GTCAGAAGGTGTATGTATAATATATCGTTGGAAAGCGAAGCATTTTAAACAAAATAATATCTAATAAATACAGTTGTAGAAGGTAACGGAGAGTGACCAAACAAATATAGATAATAATTTCTGAAAACTAATACTATTTAAAGTAAATCATATGTTTCCAAGGAAATTAAATGGAATTTCTTACTAAATGTAAGCGTTTAATTTTTTTTTTAAGTTTAAAAAAAGTATTTAAATTCCGCCGAATCAAGATAATGGCATTGTTTAAAATACTATCTCATTGCATTTGTGTGAAAAAAAAAAAGAAATATAAAAATATTTCATGGATATGTAACCTTAAATAGATTTATTGTAGTTTAATAGCTCTAGATCTGATATTATATTTAAATAATTACGTATGTATCATACTTTTATTCCGAAAAATCATCATGTAACTTTTTATCAAATTAAATTAGTGAATAATTTGATGAATTTTCCTATGTGATATCGCAACAGTATCTACTTACAATTAATGTGACAACTTTTGACCTATTTCTGACAGGTAATGCAAATCTCGTAATTCCATTTTAGTAAGCTTTGCAATGGAAAATAACAGTTAATAACTAATAGTCGTATAATCCATAATCAACCGTTGATATAATAAATAGGATTTTTGTTATTTTAATGGTATTAATGAATTGTCAACTATAAGCGTTAGGCGTTAGCTCGGTTAATAATGCACTTAAAAAAATTTATAATTGCCAGAAAATAATTTAAATTCAAGTAGACCGCTAAGTGAAAGTTGTATGCTGTGCGCACCAGGTTTTTAAAATTTAAAACCAAACTATTTCAACCAAACTATTGCATTACATTGCAAGGAATTAGTTGTTGCCTCAAGCTAATTGACATCTTCAGTTTCATCAGAACATACATTTTTGAGTTTTTAAATAATTATGTGAAACACGACAAGCCAATATAATGACATCAACGATTTTCAACTTGCATACAAAAGGATGCTTGAAAACACAAAACACGAAATAATGCTGATAAGTTGGATGCATGCTAGTCCAGTCAATAAATGGAAATTAGGTGCTTGGAAGATGGACAGTATTTGACTTTACTAAAAGTTCCCGTCCCTACCACTTCCGCTTCATCGTGGGAGACACCGTAAAGGTCACTTTTCCAGATTTTTCCATTTATCTTGAAAACGCAGACGAAATATTGTTGTATAAAAAATTCCCTTCAAAAAGGTTTTTATTAATTTCTTTTGTATCTGTTCGATCTATATATTCGAGATATTCACTACCTTAAATTGACAATTTTTGAAAATTTATTTTCTCCTCACATTTTTTGTTTAACTTGTCTTTTTAACATTACAGGCTTTCGTTCTACAAAAACGCCGTCTGAAAGAAAATTGTAGGATATAATTTTTCTTTAAATCTATACATCCTTTCACAGACTGATACAGGGGAGGCCATCAGCTCGAAGGCCTCCCCTTCTCCCAAAAAAATAGTTAAATGTAATCATGTTTATAATAAAAAATTATCTCTTAAAGTATTATTGTTGGTGTAATTAGATTTAATAGGACTTCAAGAATCACTTAAACACCATTTCATATAGGTAGTTAGTAATCTTTATTTTTTTCCCAAAGTAATCAACGATATATATATGAGTGTGAAAACAAAATCTTTCGGGCTGAAGCTTCTCCCCCCTCAAAAAAAAATTAAATCCTCGATCCGCTAGTGCATCCTTTACATACATGTTATCGTGAAAGACCGAAATCTGGAGAATGTCGACTTTCACCGGCGCATGTCAACATTCACATAGTCGCTTGGTATATGTTGGAAGAATTTGCTAAATTCCCTTATTTCTGACACACCAGTAAATGTCGACATTCACCATGCAATAATGGTGAATGTTGAACATGTGTTGCACTTAGTTTTTGAAGAAGCCATTTTAGAAAGTATTTTAGAGCACTTTTCTGGAGAAAAATAAAAACAATTGTCTTCTCCTCTACTCACAATCAATGGATTTAAATTTTCAAGAAAAATATCACGATTTACAGCAGTATCCATTTTGTATAAATTACGGTATCGGAAAAAAATATTAAGAAAATGTTACTTGCATCATCAAAGCTTGCATAAGACTGACAAAGCTGACTGACCCTCAGCAGAACAAAGGATTCGGCGGGAGAGAGCCAGTCGACTCCTCTCTTTTGGACCTCCACCAGAGAATATCTGTGATTGTCGAAATACATCGGTGAGGGTCTGAATGTAATGAAATATTCGATCTTTTATCGACTTATTGGTATGTTTCGATATTCATCGGTCAAAGTCGACTTTCTCCAATTTCGGTCTTTCACATTTCTATTCTTTTTCACTCCTGTTATGACGAAAAATTGAAAAGTATAAAAAAAAAATTAAAAAAAAAAAATGTGAATAAATTCAGTAGTTAGTTTTTTAAATTTTTCATAATTTTCGCCTTTTTTGCGATTTTCGCCATTATCGCCTTTTCGCCATTTTTAATATTTTCGACGTTTATGTGACTGTCACATTTTTCTCCATTTATTATTTTATAAAAAAATATGAATAAATTTAGTAGTTTAAAGAATTTTTAAATTTTTCATAAATTTCGATTGTTTCGCCATTTTCTCGGTTTTCGCCACTTTCACAGTTTTGTCTTTTTCACCATTTTTTACTATTTTCCTTTAATGTATCATATTTATGTGTATATATATATATATATATAATATTATAGAAAGAAAGAAGCATATACACTGACTTAAAAAAAATTCCACCCACTTGATTTTTCCTTGTTTTCATCTAAAAATATTTCTGTAAAGTTGTATTTGTATATAATACATGGTATTTGTAGATAATACTTAGTATTTATGGAATTTTACAATCTTTTTTACCTTCAATAATCAAAATGTGATTAGGTAAGAAAGATTAGAGAAAAAAAAAAATTGAAAAACGAACCATTATTATTCTAAATGAAATTAATTACATCATCGTTTAGTAGCGCGTGTTTCCTCCTCTTGCCTTCACTACTTCTTGAAGAGGCCTCGGCATACTTTCCACCAGTCGGGAAATGTCCCTTTGCTGGAGGATAGCCCATTCCTTCCGAAGAGCCCTTTCAAGGTCCTGCAGTGTATCAGGAAGTGTTGCATGCGCTCTTATTCGTCTTCCGAGGTTATCCCATAAATGCTCAATGGGGTTAAAATCTGGAGAACGTGCTGGCCAGGCTAAAACCTCAATATTGTTCTGTTGAAGGAACGTCTGCACTATGCGGGCGACATGTGGGCGTGCATTAGAATAGAACGATCGCCGATTTCGTTGAGGATAGGCAACACATGAGGTTCCAAAATCTCATCTACATAGCGAATGGCTGTTAAAGACCCTCCACGAACAACAACCGATTCTGTGCGGCGCTCCATTGAAATCTCAGCCCACACCATTAAGGAACCACGTTGGAAAGGTTGGCTCTGGGAGAGGCTGCATATCTTTCGTTTCTTCTTCTCCACACCCTTTCACGCCCGTCGGGAGATCGAAGAGCGAATCTTGACTCATCTGTAAAAAGTACAACACTCCATTCGTCCATAGTCCAATGGCTGTGTTCTCGAGCAAAAGCCAGCCGTGTTACTCCGTGAGTTCTGGTCAACTCTGGTCCTCTTACTGGACGAAAAGCCATTAATCCATACTCATTTAATCTTCTCCGAGCAGTACGTTCAGAAATTTGCACACCTCGAACTAATTCGAGCTGATGAATCGCTTGAACAACGGTAAGGTGCCAGTTTCGTAAAATTCTCGAAGTCAAAAACCGGTCATCCGGTTCTGTTACCCTAGGCCGTCCAGACCTGGCCTTCTATTGTAAGAACCAGTTTCCCGAAAACGCCTGACAGCGTCTCGTAAAGTTTCATATGGTACTCCGATGACATTAGCTGCCTATGTAATGGAACGTCCATCATCAATAAGTGCCACACCACCCGCAACATCCTCAGCACTAAGAGGCATTTTTAAACTTAATATTGAAAAAATTAAAAGCCTGAGACTAAGAAATGTGCTGCTAGAAACGGCACTGAACTAATGATACTGAATAAACATTTTGATTCCATAGAAAGTAAACTATGGAATCTAGAATCATTTCGTTGAATTAAGGATTAAGGGTTATTGTCCTCTATATTAACATTCCTAATTGAAAATAAACAAAAAGATTACCTATTTATTCATTAAAAACAATAGACCAATTCAAAGCAGAAATATTTTTAGATGAAAACATGAAAAAATCAAGTGGGTGAAAATGTTTTCCTAAAAAATGACAAATGACTAAATATACCTATTTAAGAATAAGATGATAGTGTTCTTATATATATATATATATATATATATATATATAAGAACACTATATATATATATTTCAAGTTTATGGTTGTTTTGTTCTTTGTTTAGGCTTGATTGATTTAAAATTTTTGTAGGTTGAGTTAGGGACTGGTAAACAAATTTTCCTTACTTCTATCGCCATAGGTACTAAACCATTCGATTCAGTACAAAAAATTATACAGATCATCCCATTTAAATTATTTTAAAGAAAAATGTGGGTGAAAAACAAAACGTATGTTCATCTGTATTTTTGGTTTCCTTCCCTCTCCACCTCCTCACAAATTTCAGTAATTAGAAGTCCTGATCCAGTACCAAGCCCTATTATTGATGCTGTGTTTACAGATAATAAAAATAATAGTACATTTTACTTTATTTCACTGGATCCACAAAAAAAATAAAAATAAGACAACTTCGGAGGAATGTTACAATCTTTGAGTCATATTTTCCGTTGGTCAGTGAAATAGAGAACCGAATGATATGATAATAAACAAAGACACAGGAGTCAGATGTCCTGATTGTTATTATTTACAGACTTTTCGGATCAAGTTTTCGGACTTGTTCTACTGTCGATATTTCAATGCTAAGTTTCATGTTGAATGGGAATTTAGTTTTATTATGTAAAATAATAACAGATTTTTATTATAGCGCTGTTTTGTGCCCATTACTGAAGCAACATTTGAAGTTTATAATGGGAAGCAACTGTGTGATAAATGTATAACACAAATTTCGAAGGCAGAAATGATTGCTTCAGGGGAAGGAATATCGACTAATAAGACGCTCCCACTTGATTCTAGTTTAATCCCAGAAATGAGCTCTGCTATAGAGAAAAAAGCTTGAACTACATTTCTTAACTAATAAAAGTTTGGTTTTCCAGAGGATCAGTATCCATTTGTGTTTTGTTTATTTAAAAGTATGAAAAAAATTATTGATAAGTTAAAAAAAGTAACAGTTTAAGTGTCACTAGAATGTTTACAGATGAAATTTTATCATAAAAGTCCCACAAGAACTACCCATACATATTCAAATAGAGCTGGATGTTAAAATTTGTATATGATTTGGTCCAAAATATTTGTTTGAAAGTTTTTCTATAGAAGCTCCTTAATACAAGTTTTCAGAGCTTGAGAGAGATCTTCATGGAAGAAACATCAAGAGAGGGGGGAATATTTTTATCACAAAAAAGTTTTTAAATTAGTATGATTAGGTGTGCACAAACACATTAGTTCATGCTGCCCCCAGAGGTTTCCCTGAAGGGGATTTCATGCTGCAAGTTATGCCATCAAAATTTTTGAAGGTGGTACATTTTCATGTGATTTTGAATTTACAGAGTGAAAAAGCTTCAAACCAGAGAATAAAATTTCTTGGGATGGAGGAAGGGTTTATGTGCATCCAACCTTAAGGGAATGGGCAAACCTACTGCCACAATCATCAAGGAAAAAGTTAACAGCAATGATGAACCATTGGTTCTCCGACTGGAATCCTTATATCACAATAATGAAGGAAAATATTTGGATGAACTTATTACTGATGCCTGTGATCAATGATGTGCACGACTCAGAATTCCGTCCATGTCAATGGACAAGTAGAACGAGAAGATTGTTATTTTTTTTGGCAAGCAAGTCTTCATAGAAGAAGTTGAGCGAGTCTTGCCTGATCTAGAGGCCAGAAAAGAGGATGTTAAATAAAATGATTGTGATGAGGGCTATAATGAAATTGTGAATTTAAAGTTTTTCCTTAGTCAATTATAAAATTCTTTCATAATCTGTATTGAATAATTTTTTATTAAAACTAACAATGAGAGACAGTTTATTATTTAAAATAAAACAAATTAAAACGTTCTTTATTCGTTATTATTTCACCTTATTGAAAAAAATTCTATATGGATATGTGCTCTTTTGAAAAATAAGCTCCTCACTTAATCAAATTATGCCTCCCTGAAATCCTTCTAGCTACTGACTTTTTGCAATTCGATACAGAAAACTACATGAGTTATACAAAATATCATAAAATAGGACTGGTGCTTTAATGGGGCAGTATCTTGGAATAAACACGACCCATTTCCAAATTTTCTAATTCAGATAGCATCTTGATAAGAAAGATATGAAAAAAAAAACAATTTGCACCATAGGTGGATAATAAGTACCAAGGATACCGTTAAGTACCATATTTAGAGTAAAGGTTGAAATATGATGTTAGCATGCACTTTTGTTATGTAGTTCATCTTCCATTCCTAGGATAGGTGAGGTACCCACTTTTTAGAGCCTTTAAATGCTCCGGAAGGGCATACAAATGGCTGATATTATAAAATAATAAAACATCTGCTATAATATTTAGTTCTGAGCCCATGAGTTATCTTACCCACTGATCTAACTCCTACCCCCATTCCTGAGAAATATTGGAAATTTAAAAAAATTCTAATTATTGAAAATTAAAGAAAATAGGTCATAGCTAGTAGTGATAAATACTCATATAAATTGTTAAGATTGATATTACATAAATCCATCTCTATTCTACCATAATTGTTAGGTAATTAGATGTAGAGAAGAGACAGATGATGAGATTCTGGAAGATTCAGTTACAAATGAAACTGGTGACTTTTTTGAAATGTAGTTTCAAGTAATTTAACTATAAATAAATTCTTCAATATGTTATATGTTCAAATTATTTGATAACCATATTCCCATTATACTTATGGGTTTCGCTGATGATCAAGCTATAACCACTTGCAGTGTTGAGGTAGGGGAGAGGGCAATCAATTGCATTCGAGAAATACTTTCTGAGTTGGGACTGTCTCTAAACCCCCAAAAGAGTTCTGGTATTATTTTGGAGAAGGGAAGCTTAATAAAATGAAGGTTTTGCTTAAATACCGGAGATAATAAGATCAATTGAAGTAGGTGACACTATCAAATATCTTGGGTGTCGGTTCTCCAGGGAGTTAGAGTTTGATGATGCTTCTGTAGTTAAGGTAAATCAAAATACGGAAAAATTGGTAAACTCAAGTCTCCTTAAGCCAGAAAAAAAGATTAATATTGTAAACAGATATGTTTTCCAATCCATAATATACCCACTGCTGAAGGAGCAATTGACGAAATGGTCGTCATCACTCTTGGAGTCTGTAGATGTCATTCTACATAGAAGTGTTAAGACAATGATAGGTTTTACAAGCCAATGTGTATACCATGGTGTATGCATCACGGTAATACATGGGCCTGGGTCTTTTGCAGTGTCATTGGAAGGTTCCTCTTCAGCACTGGTCAATTTTCCAGAAATTAACCAACATACCAGATACCCTATTTCAGGTGATTTTTTATTTCGGGGATGAAATTCGAAGATGTGCTGATCTATTAGGCATCTTAGCAAATAATTCAGAAGCTACACTATCAGTCAAAAAGTTAGGCAGTCTCTGAGGAAAAAGTTCTTTGATATGATCCTTAAAGTGGCAAGGAATTTTTGTCTCCCATTTTCAATCGAACCCTTGGATCAATCAGTTTATTTACGATGGAAAAGACCTCACAGACTCAGAATGGACTACCACTATAAAATTGAACATTAACTATGCTTCCCTCCACGGAGTACCAGGGACTATGAGCCAGGCCAACGGAGATGTTGGACTTCTTTGCCACAAAGGTGGCTGAGAGCCAGAAATCTCCTTTATTGAGCAAATATATGAACAACATGCTCCTTATAACACGCTGCACAATAATATAAAAAAACAATTATTCATACACATGAACAAGTTTAGATGTTTACTCGAAGTTATTTTAGTGTTTAATGCACCAGAAAAGAAGGTACTTATAGTGGATCCCACAATCAGGTTTGAAACAAATGATCAAGACCAGGACATTAAGGTGCAGATTGAGAAAGAAGAAATTTATAATGCATACCCTACTTAAAAGAAAACAATCAGAAGGATGAATTTGGAGAGAAAAACTTCTCAATTAAAGGTCTGTGATTCGGAAGTAGAAGAACCATCCCTCATAATACAAGTGATTTCTTGCAGAATCTCGGGGTTGGAAGGGAGCAGATGGAGATGATGGTGAAGACTATTATTTTGGACTCATTGGGGATCCCCCATCGCCACATATAATAAGCTTTGCCTTCACTTGTTCGTTTCTGTATACTGGTTTTTTAATATATTTATTATGGTCAAATGGTCCTATTTAACTCTTTTGTTCTAGTTTTAAATAATGATTCTTTGACTGATGAGTATGATGTGTGTGTTATTTAGCAACACAAAACAGTTGAGTAGCCATGCAATATTATTATTGTAGTTCTCTCTCTCAATTGTGGAAGTCAGTGGTTCTGAGCTTGTTATTCTCAAAGTATATTAAAGATGTATTTTATATTTGTATGTTATTCCTTCAGATAGTGATTTAACTTCCAAGCAAGTGCTTAATTTAGCTGAAATATAGCAACACAATATAATGTAATTATATAATGTTATATGTATGTTTATATACAATTTAAAATCTATATACATACATACTGAATAAAATCTATGACAAAGTTTTTAGTATAGTTTTAAATTTCTCTTGCTATTAAAGGAATAAATCTTGATGTTTTATTTTCATTATTTGTTTGAAACAGAAAAACAGTTTTGTGTTTAGTTGATGTATATAGTTTCTAAGAATAGATTTGATTTAGAACTATAAAACATTTTAAGAACCATACTAATTTATTTTTCAAATAATTTGGTGGAATTCATTTTTCCAGTTCTTTCCAAGAAACATGAACATTTCAATTATTTGTACATAGTTATTTCATTTCTTCATAGATATTCTGTGTTATCTTAAAATAGTGATCATTCTGTCTTTGAATTTACCTGTTATTAAGTATATTTTGTTGCATTAGCACTATAATATAAATCATTTAAAGGGTTAACATGTATTAACATTATTTTTAATTACTAGTACATCCATGTGATACCTCTTAGATATCTACCCTTCTTCTAGAAATCTATCCTTCTTCTCCCTAATAAATTTAAATATAATTGATGTTAGGGAAACATGTTTATCTTGATAAATAATATCATAGTATTAAGAAAACTGCATTCAATGCACAGAAATGTTCAAACTATTTACTGAATACTGACTATGATGAAGTAACAGTTTACTGAATAAGTAATTATCATTATTCTCCTCTTGTACCATTTACAAAAATTAAAACCAAAATAAAAAATAAGAATCAAAATTGGTATTTGTCACTCTCTAAATGAAATTGTCTTTCTTTTGGCAATTTGTTTGTCAAAATCCATCACCCCTGAGAACTTTAAAAGTTATCTATATCATAGAATTAAAGTACAGTAATGGTTAAAAAGTAAAACTAGTTTAGCGTAAGTTAAGATTATTTCTCTTTTAAAAATGTTTAATCATAACAAATCCTGATTTATCGTTGGTGGTTTTTCTTAATTCATTATATCTACTTAGTTCCAAAATATATTGAATATTCACTGTATTTGGATTTTTCCACTTGAACAGAATTTCTTTAATTTAACCTTTTACTGGCTCTTGGTTTCCTGAGGAATCACATATTTTAATAACCGATGATTTTGATTATTTGCGCCATCAAGGCATTTCAAGCTAAAACCTCTTGGGAAGCTCTCATTGAGAACTACTAATTTAGACAGTTCAAATCCATAACCATTAAGTAAGTTATCCAATTAAATTCATTATAGTTTAATTTATAAACTTCAAATCAGATGTAAAATAATTTTTTTTTTTCTTTTTTTTAGTATTATTGTAAATTTATTTATTATTACCTATTTATAAAACTTTCTTTTTTTTCTGAACTTTACTGAATTGTGAATAGTTTCTGTTATAAAATATCTTTGTAATAAAAATAGTTGGTTAACATATAATTTGACAAAAAGTGAAAAAAGTATTAAGTGCAAATTACAAAAACTTACTATTGTCCCTTCTCTGCTAATAATTTCAATCATTGTCTTTGGTTCTTCAGTTTTAATTGGATTGAAATTGGCTCGGCGTAGTTCCGCACCTGGCCTTTGTTTCACTGACATCATAAAGTTTATAGGCTTGATCATATCTTGTTCTTGGTCCAATTTCTTGCCCTGTTGTTTTTATTATGCTTGTATATTGCACATGTTCATAATTTATCATATTCTGCTTAGAGATATTTCTATTTAAGATGCTGATACAATTAAAAATTACCTAATGATGATTTGATTAAAAATGATTACGATATATAGTTTTATTTTTAATGATTATTGCATAGGGGGCTTGATTTATATGGCACCAAAAACGTCTGTAAACACTGGCCTCACACTTTTTTTTCAATAAACCATTTCATTTAATAATAGAAGCATTCATTTTTACTTTATATAAAGTACTCAGGGGTCATTGCATGCCAAATCATCCAGGACCCGTAACCCATTCCCTCAGATCTTAATGAAAATTTGTAAATATTAAGTAAATATACATGTAAGTAAAAATATCAAATTTTAGCCAATTCTAACGATTAGTTTCAGAATTATGGGTTTTTAAACTTTTGAAATATTTGAAGTTGGGAAGACATTTGGGACTCGAAACCAGCATGTACCTGTTTGGTTTTTATTTCTAAAATCAATATTTATCGACCAAGATCTTTCAAAATTTATTCATTTGTCATAAAGTTCATACAGAATCTGCTGATACCATAAGTTTTAACATTATAATCTTTCTTTAATTTAAACAAATTCTTAAACATAATTTTTCAAAAGAGTGATAAAAACATCTAGAACTATCTGTAGCAAAAAAATCTCTAAATACCCTATACAGCCATGTATTAATGAAAACAGCATAAAATTCACTACCAAATGCAAAAATAATATCAGTGGGCTTTTTAGTTTACTAAAAAGAGCATACAATTTTCTATCAGATGATGAAATAATATTTTTGGAATTTTGAGTTATAAGAGAATTATTATAATGTAAATAAAAAGAAGTTTTTGCGTGATGAGGAAATGGTGTGCTAATCAATATCGAAAAATGCCTGTAGCTAAAATCTCTCTCTGAAAGCCCCAATAGAACCATATATTACTGAAAACAGGATGAAATTCTCTATCAAATAAAAAAATAATATTAGTGGGATTTGGAGTTTGAAGAGTTATATTATAATTTAAATCTAATACATTCAACTTTAATTTATCAGTTATATATACAAGTAAAAATTGCTATAATATCTCTCCGAATACAACCGTATTCACCATGACCGAATACTTGAAACAGCATGTAATGCTCTTCCAAATGATAAAATACGATTAGAGGGAAGCATTAAGTTTAATGAGATTTATTTTAATGTTAATAAAAAAAAAATCTACCTATCGCATTGTCGATATGGTCAACAAAATAATCTTTGCATTTATTAAATTAGAGAGTGAATGACTCCTTAATTGTTTAGAGGTAGAAGTCAAAACTACAGAGGTCAAAATATATTAAAATGAGATACTGGAGTGATTTTTACCAATAATCACAAGACGTGACGACTATTAATAACAATTCTAATTTATTTCTATAATTTCTTTAGTCTCATGTTAGTCTTACCACAGCTGGCTAAGGGCAAGTTAACTTAACATCATTAGTTTTATTCTATTTATATAATATAATGTCTTATATATTGTATTATAATGTTTACAAATATGATAAAACAATAAGCTGTTTGGATATACACTAAAAGTACTCTATATCATGGGTTTTCATTTCCCCCCTAAGTTGATGGTGCATGAGCCTTCCCCTTCCCCTCACCAAGATATTTTATTGTTCTCCTCTTCTTAAAAACATTTGAAATAAAAGTTCTGTAAATCATATACAATTACAATTGATGAGGTTTGTTCCATGTATCCCTTTGTCTTCTTGTTTGAAACTTTTCAATCCGAAAATTCAAAACTCCGTCGAAACTTCGAGGCTCCCTCAAAACTTCAAAGTGTAACCCCCCTCCTCAACAATTTTGAGATTGCACCATGGAACCCACTTCTGGGCACCCCTGCTCTATATGTAATTTTACATTGAAAGAAGTAAGGAACATTTATAAATTATTAAAATTAAAATTAGAAAACCTATAGAATAAAATGAATGACGTTAACTTGACAAGAGCCAACTGTGGTAAGAATCCTCTAAACACATTTTGAATTCTACCTTTAAAAAATATTTAAGGAGTTATTCATTCTCCAATTTAATAAATACAAACATTATTTTGTTGACCAAACTGACACCGCAATTCGCAGAAATTATTTTATTTGTATATATAATAATAAATTTCATTAAATTCAATGTAATTTGGAAGAGTATTGCATGTTGTTTCAAGTAATATACGGTTATATTCGGAGAAAGATTATAACAATTTATTTAAGTGAAAATTGCTATAATCTAATCTATCTCTGAATTCAACCATATAACTGATAAATTATTGAAAAGAAGAATGGTTGGGGTAATCAGTAAAAAAAAAAAAAAAATAGTAAAAATAAATAATTAGATTTGTTATTATTTATTGTGACAAATATAAAAATAAATAAATAAATATATATATATATATATATATATATATATATATATATATATATATATATATATATATATATATATATATTTTTTACTGATCATCCCTACTATTTTTCTCTTCAATTATTAACTACAATCAACCATCAATCCACAATTAACTGATAAATCAATTTTAATTAGATTTAAATTGTAATATAACTCTTCAAACTCAAAATCCCACTAAATTATTTTTTCATTTGATAGATAATTTCATCCTGTTTTCACTAATATATGATTGGGTTATAATAAACCTCTTATAACTCAAAATTCCACAAATATTATTTCATGATCTGATAAAAAATGTCATGCTCTTTTCAGTGATAAGTGTTGATAATATGATATTTGGAGGGAGATTTCACTTGTATTTGTAACTGTTAAATCAAAATTTACTTTATTGGGCTTAAAGTGTAAAAAACTATTCAAACTCAAAAGCCTACTAATATCAATTTTGCATTTGGAAGAGAATTTTTTGCTGTTTTCGTTAATATATGGTTGTATTGGGTTATTTGGAGAGAGATTTTTGCTACAGGTAGTTTTAGATACATTTATCACTATTTTGAAATTTATGCTTAAGAATTTGTTTATACATGAAAAAAAATTATAATACTAAAATTTATGGTATCAGCAGATTTTGTATTAAATTTATGAGAAATGAATAAATTTTTAAAGATCTTGGTCAATAAATATTGGTTTTACAATCGAAAACCAAACAGGTACATGCTGGTTTTGAAACCAGAATGTCTTCTCAACTTCAAAACTTTAAAAACCCATAATTCTGAAACTAATAGTTCGAATTGGCTAAAATTTGATATTTTTACTTACATGTATATCAGCTTAATTTTTAATCCAGTGTATTTTATTTACATCTATGATAAATGATTTGCTGGTATAATTTTTTAATTTCAAACTACTAGTTAATTGTAAACTATGAATTCAATAATCTTATAAACAAATATTAGGTAATCAGTTGTGTCAATTTTGAGAGGTATGTTTATAGATGTAAATAGAATACCTGGGTATTTAAAGGTTGCATATTATTACACGGTTCTTTAAATTGTAGGTCTGTTCCAACATGAGTTTTGACTATCAGCAAACTGTAAGCCGCATACGCCCATGTAGTAAAATATATATCAATAAATTTATTTCAAAATTAGCTCTATATGTATTTATCAAAACAGACTAACTTAATCAATTTTAATTAGAAAACAATATATTTTTAGAAATATTTTGTCTAATAATGTATATAACACCTAGATTTATTAAAATTGATAACCAAATTTTGATTGAACCCAATTCTACAAAGAACCAAACCAATCAAATTTATAAGTAAAATATATTGATAACTTTATTTTGCAACAAATCCCAGAGCACAGTGTTTTTCTGTATCACTATTTGATTCAGATAGAGCCTTGGGTTTTTGTTGCGAAATAAAAGTTTTTGATAAAATTATCAACACGATTTCACAAATATATTGGTTAGTTTCTTATTGCACACCTGCTGTTCAATATGGAATACTTTCTCTAGTTGTCTGAAGGAATTGTTCAATCATGCCTATTGCTACTAGCAAACCGGCTTCTATTTTCCTCCAAGCAATAAAAAATAGACTGCTAACGGAATTAAAAATTTATTGTGTGACATACCTGCTCACTTTTGATAGAATCTTTGCTCTGCTTACGTTCCAGAACTTTACTTTTTTGTTCTTGGTGAGATTTTCGTTTTCTGATTCGTATAGGTGGTCCAAATTTCAATCTTGCTAAGGCAGCACTTTTTTTCATCCAGGGTGGTGGTTCAATTGAAGACTTTAATTGATTTATTTTATCTTTGATTCCCCTTCTAGGCAATGAAAATTTTTCTTCTGATTTTAATTCACTTAGTAATTTAATAGTTTCAATCAGATGCTTTTCTACTTCCTTTGGAAATGTAAATTATGAAAAAATGTATATATTAATACATGGTACATATGTCTTAAAAAACAAATTAAGGTAAATGTTCTAATAATAAACACTTTATTAGTATTTGACAATTTTCAACTCATTAAACAATAATAAGCTTTATATGTCCTAGAAATAGTGCATATATGAGTAGATTTTCAGTTAGAATTATTAGGAGGGTGACGCCTGAACCTCAAATGACTACCACAATTGGCAGTTGATTTTTTAAATCAACGTTTTCAATATGTAGTTTAATGAACTAAAAAAGTATATAAACCCCTTTGCTTTCCACTTGAATATTAAGGTAATTTGATAAAACAAAAAATCAACATAACATAACAAGGTTATAAAAATTTATAAACATTCACTAAGTTGTCACGCTGTTTTTAAAAATTATTATGTACTATACATCCCTTCTCATAGATCTGCCTCATTCCAAAATTACTTTATAGCCCGCTCTGTCAACTTTTGGAATTCCCTCCCGATCAAAATTCGACATGCCCCTTCCCTGTATACATTCAAAAACCTCCTATTCCAATTCCTGTTCCAAAAACAGTCTGATACCAGCTAACAATTGATATTATATATGTATTGTGTAGCAATCATATAATCATAACACTTGGTAAGAGATAGTACATGCATTTCCTACTATCGACGTAGGAATTTCAATACATACATTTTTTTTTATTTTTTTTTTTTATTCAATTATAAGTAACTGTTTATTTTTATATATATATTCAAGTAAAGTTTTTTTTTTTGGTTTTTTTTTTTTATGAAATGAACTCATTGTATCTCTTTTTCGTTCTTCATTTCTCAAAGTGTATGTTTATGTTGTTCAACCCTTAAATATAATTTTGTTCATAGTTCAAGTGATTCGTTCATAGTTTTAATTGTTTTGTTCATAATTTTAAATGCTCTGTACATAGTTTTATCTGTTTGTATATAGCTTGTGCACCTAAGGTTTTCTTTACTTTTTATTTTATTTTATCAATTTTATTTATTGTTTCAACGTTCAGGCCAGTAATATTCTATTATTTTTGTACATTATTGTTATTCTGAAGGGACTTAGTCCCAGAATAAAGTTTTTTTTTCTATCTATCTATCTATCTACTATTTTCCTTCGGAAATAATTGCCTATTTGCACTGTATCGAAAGTGGTCGGTGGAAGATGGGGTTGCGGTTTCTATCGGTTTTGGAACTCCTAGAGCACAGTTCTGCAATTTTTAGAAGTGTCAATTTTATATATATATTTTTTTCCGCTATATTTCGGCTTCTCCAACCGCTGTTCGACCGAATAAGCTGACATTCGATATGTAGAGTTTATTCCCAAGCAGAACAATATTATTAAACTTTAAACTTTAAAGATGTTTAGAGAAAAGAGACAGCCCCACCAGACAAATGGACAATACGCTGTCATGCTGCTAGTTCTGTACAATAAATTAACAGAAAAGATGAGGTAAACCATAGCCGCAGTGGAGATAGAAGCCAGGATGGGATTTCTATCAACAATCCTGAAAGTCCAGCTCGCAAAGGACAAGGGATGGAAAGAGGGGCTATTCACGTGGAAGGGATATAAGTCGATTACTACAATTGATGTTTTTAGCAAATTAGCCATGGCATACCCGGTACAGGAGCCGGTTTTTTTATTGTTAGATCATATTATTCTTTTAGTTGTTAGTTTTTCCAAAATTAATAAAACATAAAGAAACGGTATTTTATTTTAAAATTCAAATTCTATGTTAAAGTTTAATCAGAAAGAATATTTATGAAATTTCGTTATAATTATTACTACTTTTTTTAAGTTTTACTGGATTGCTACTGCAGTTATATCGTCTAAAATTTTTAATCAAAATGGTTTATTAAACAAGATTTTAGAAATAACAGTTTTTAAATAAATATCCTACATGATTAGTGGTGTTCTTAACTATTTAGAGCCCACGTAGGACGAATCCATATGTCATCCAGTAAAACATTTTCGTATACTGTAAACATAGAATATTACAAATGTCAAACACACTTTTTAAAGAAATGTTTGTAAATTATATATTCAATTCTGGATTGTGGCATCAATTCTTGTTTACAGTTAAATGTAGGCCACATAAATAATTATCTGTTATCTTTTTTACAGTAATTTTAAACGAGTGTAAGAGACAAACCTAAGATATTTATGGGTTTTTTGATAAGTTTGTCCTGTCGAAAGCTATGAATGTTTGATACGGTGAGGGATTATATTTTTTATTTGAAAATGACTTATGAACTAATTTACTTTTCTATTGATTCACCTCAAAGGAAGACGTGAATTTTCCCATCCTTCATTTTTTTTCATCCCTCAAATTCACCTACCTCTCAAAGACTGACCCTCAGAGGTAATACCCAGCTGGCCATTTTGTGAATCGGGACCCAATATATAAATATGAAATTCATTACATTAACAAAGTACAAAACCTAAATTATTTATATTGTGCTTTTGTACGAAATTTAATACCCTACCCAAATTCTCTAAAAACCAATGAATGATATTTATATTTAAATCATTCATCAAAAACTACACAAAAGTTAGCCTAGAGCCTATATATATATTACAGTTTTAGAAAGTATCCATATTTACATCCAGTACTTGTGTCTTCAAATACCCATAAAATGGCTTAAGTATTAGTGTTAACTCATATATACAGTTGTAAAAGGAACATAATAGTTCTTGTGTTTTTCCAAATATTGATATTGTCTGTAACTGTTTCTCAATAACCTGGAAAGATTTTAAATATTATAAGCACATTTATTAATAAAATAATTGTAACAAGTACTATGTATTATAACAACGTAATTACTTGTAAGGCTTGTATTGCACCATGATGGACAGCAGCAAGTTTTTGAATCATTAATAAAATTTTTGATTTCTTACTGATTAATATTGGATTAGGCATCATTTCTTTGAGCTCATTGACCTAAAATATTTAAATAGTCACTCAAAGATAGTAATAGATTATTAGTAATATAATGATCATAGCCTCTTCAAAGTTTCATAGCTCCTGTTAAGTGGCTACAAAAATAGATGGTTAGCAGGGCAGAAATAAACTACCAGTGCTGAACCAAGAACTGAATTGAAATTTACAAGTATTGGTAAAAATACAATTATTAAATTTGCACTGGGCATGTGACATGTACAATGTGAAACTATCCATTGATCTTCAAGAAGAATGAAAGGTCAACAAATATTAGATCAACTGTTGTTGGAAAATAAAATGTTTTTAAAAAAATGGTAACTGAGTGGCGTCATAAAAACTGAGAAAGAGTGGCGTGAGGTAGAAGTAATATCTAATCCTCATTAGAATTTTCAGAACTAAATTAATTTTAAAAATCATTTTGTTGAAACAGTACCGAGCTTCATACACGTTTGTGGTAATATTCTTCAGTTTAAAATGTTAAACCTTCTTAAAATGATATCTTTCCCAATAACTGAGAACTTATTTCAAATCGTAAAAATTGTTATAAACCATTTTACACAAAGACATACTACACTTTAAAACAAATACAAAAAAAAAAAAATACTTTGTAAGCTAAGATATTAAAGTTTTACTGATAAAATATTTTTAAAATCCATAAACACAAGACCACTGAGACAAAATTGTACAGAAATTTCAATTTTTTTTTAAAGTTTTGTACAAGCAGTTTTTTTAATGAATTAAATCTGGGGTCTCCAAACGTTTTCCCCATGTTGCACATTCAGATATCTACAATGTCCCACATGCTGCATTGAGACCCACACAAAGTCCCATTGAGCAAGACAAAATCAATAATTTCTCTTGTACTAAGAACTAAAAATATTAATTCAAAATATCTATATATACTGTTAATTTGTTATGGAATATCTCAAAATTGCTGTTTAGTTAGTATTTTGAAGCGTTGGATCGGGGGGAGAGACTGGAGAAAATAGTTTTTGTCTCACGTTCTAGGGATATTAAGGAAAGATAATAAACCACAAAAAGTGTGATTGCAATACTTTCATTTAAGATTTTTTTTTTCCTCCTCTGAACCCACTTTGAACCGGTGTTGGATTTGCTCATTTTACTTAATTTATCAGAAATTTCTTCTTGCTACATGCTGACTAACTTCATCTTGTGAAAAAAACACAACAGCAGAAGATAATATTGGCAGCAGAACTATTTTTTCATGGAGTTGGAACTGTTTTGAAATGGTACCAAGGAAATAAAAAGCTTGTGGAAGCAGGACTTTTATATTGCTCATAAATAATTGAATCATCAACAGGAATTCGTAATCAATAAAAAGTGTGATACTCACAAAAAATTCTTCTTTTGGGATTATGTGACAGAGCGCTGGTGGATCTACAAGGGGGGGGGTGAGAGGGAGGAGAGGGCTGTCAGACTGAATCTTCCCCAAAATAGAAAAATAGGATTTTTTTTCATTGGTCCATCCTTTTTTCTGTGAGTGGTCTGAGCCTTAAACTATCACAGTATGTACTCTTTTTAAATTATTTCGCATATACAGTTACTAAATGTAAGTACACCTTAAGAAAAATGAATAATTTATTCCTAAAAGCGGATGAAATTGCTATTGATGTAAGCCAAACTGAACAAGCTTTGAAAATTTCGAAAGTAAAAGTAGAAGGTGATTTTCTGTTCACACCTATTTGACAAATTTTGAGTATAATTGTTTTCTAACAAGCAGATTCATATATAATTTCTAGAGCTTTCCGAAAACTATAGTTTTAATTTTAATTTTTAAATTAAAATATCGAAGGGACGATATAGATAATCGATAATATCGAGGTAGATACCATCGATGGCCATTCCTGCTTCCAACTATCTTACTTCCTTAAGTTTCGGGCATTCCACAATACATCCTCGAAAGCCGGAAAAACTTATAAAGAAAACTATGTCTTCACCATGAATAACAAAAACCATGCTATTATTAGCAATAATAAGCTTTATTTATTCTAGTCTACGTTTTAAAGTATTCTGAACATACTCCAAAGGAAATCCGTTAATCTTTGTTTGATGTTCATTAACTCGAAAACTATACCAAACCTCCTTGAACTTACCAGATGCTCATTAAAAAGGTAATTGCTTGTCTACGAAGCTAAGCATAAATTAAATAATCTTGTCGAGTCTATAATAGCGGACATATCGCAATCAATGGTCACCAATCGTAAGTATTTCCAGGCATCCTTCCTCTTTCAAGTCATCCAATCCCAACGACCTTCATACATCTCCGAGCTCCTCCAATTCAAATCCTCTGTTCGCTCCCGCAATACTCATTCTCGCTCTTCTGATTTATACATAAGGAGCCACCGAACCGCTGCTTTCGACAGATCATTCATTATCCGATGCTCATCCTTATGGAACTCCATCCCTTCCCACATCCGCCAATCTAATACCCTTAATCTAATACCCCGCCCCTATTACCCTACCTTTAAATCCCGCCTGTTCAATCATTTCTTATCCATCCAGTCCCCATAAAATCATAAAATTGTAAATAGATACCACTGAAAATATTTAATTTTTTATTATTAACTTATTTAAGTTAGAAAGTAACATATAATTTTTAATATGACTATTTTATTACTCAACATTTCTTCTTATGTTTCTCTGAGGCTCCTTAGCCCACATTACTGTCCTTATGTATTATTCTAAAGGGACTTGTCCCAGAATAAATAAAGTATTATTATTATTATTATTATAAGATTTATAGGCTGCATACGTAGGAGATACACTAGATGTTTTTGATATTCAACAATTTAGAATAAATAAACCATTATGTAATTTACAGTGTTTTCCATCTTCTTCTTATTGTTCTTCGATATTCTACATTAGGCTTGCAATATTAACTGAAACGGCATTTAATAAATATTTTTTGTCGTTAATCTTGTATGTTACCCAACCTACCATCCTTAATTATTAATAAGGCCAACTATTTAATATGAACTAATTTCAATCATCAAAATAAACAAAATATCTATATTTTAATTTAACAAAGTATCCATGAATCTGTACACTTACTAGCTTTAATATAAAAAAAAAGAAACTGAAATTAGAAAATAAATACCTGACAATTAGTCCTGTATAAATAGTTCCTCTTAAATCTGGCACCGAATTCTAAAGTTCTTTGTTTAATGCGCTCTATATCTTCATCAGGGGATAGAGGTGAATTGATATTTTTTGCAATCACTATTCGAATGTTCGAAATTATAGGAGTCATTTTAATTCTTATATCTTCAACTTTTCTTAATTCTGTGTCAACACCTGGTATATCTTGGATTTTTTTGGCAATATTTTTACAATAATTTTCCTAAAAATAAATATATATGATACAGAAATGAACAAAATTTTATTTATAATGATGTAGAGATGGTTGACCGTTGATATAATATGAGAAGGAATTGATCGGGGGGTGCGGTCAAATTAATAATAAATTAAAGAAGTAGAATTATTTAATTTTTGCCGACGTTAAGTTGAGTGTCTCAACTGTCTCCCGCAGTGCTACATCGTACGCCCTGATGAAGACCTAAAAAGTGGGTCGAAACGTCGGCAAAAATTAAATAATTCTACTTATTTAATTTATTATTAATTTGACGGCTATTTATTATTATTTTCCCGATCAACTCCTTCTCATAAAATTTTATTTAGTCCAGGCATTGACAGCAATTGAGTATGCATTAATCGCGCACCGTGATTTCTCTTCAGCTTCTTGTCTGGAACATCCTGTTGACTTGGAAACTGCTTGTTGCCACCTCCGAATGTGGTAGGTTCAGGCTGGAGGGAGGAAGGGTGACGCTCTTCTATAACTCGACCATTAGTGGTCGTAGAGACTCGAATTTGGTCTCAGATTGTTCGTGTTGTAATGGTGAGAAAATCGAGCGTGGAGTTTTATAAGAGGTTCTACTAAATAAATTTCCTCATTTTATATCATAGACCAAAATGGTTCTAGTGAACTAACGTTAATTTTTATGTAAAATTCAAATTTCAAAACATTGCGCAATTGTCATCAAGTTTATTTTCCCTAATTGAGATCCCCATATTTATATCGCATTCAGAGTCTAAATAAAATTTAATGAATAAATGATATAATATTTAATATGATAATACAAATAATTAATATAATAATACAAATGGTTATGATGTTTCACTGGATCCAGGATTTAATTTTGGCGGGGGACTTCTGCCCGAAAAAATTTTGTATGTATATATTACGATAATTACTTCGGGAGAAAGAAAGAAACTAAGTACCTAAATGAAATGGTTTTTAAGTGATTCTTTAAGTCTTATTAAATGTAATTAGATAAACAATAATTCTTTTAGAGACAATTTTTTTTCATAAAAAAATTTAATTTAAAAAAAGACAACTACACATTTTAATACTTTAAATACAATTAAATGTTGCCATTTATTTTCTCAATAAATTCTGTTTTATTGAAAATAAACTTTTGTATAGATAAAAAATGAACATAATTGTATATAATCTTCTTTCGGAAATGGTTTAATCTTTACAAAGAGTAGTCAAAAATTGGTTTCTAAAGATGGAAATGAAATCCTGCGTTTAGTTTCCATTTAAACCGATCACAATCCATTTACTGTGAATAAATGCTTCCGAAAACGAGTTGTAATTTGTTACTGTTTGTTTCACTTCAGTAGAATCAATTTCGCAATTTAAAAACCTTATCACTGCATCAGTCTATTTGAATCACTCAACTCCTGTCTTTGAGCTCTATAGACAAGGAGAGATTTGAAAGTACGTGTATTTAATTATGAAGAAGTAAGGTCATAACAAACATTCGGAAGTAAGGTTAGAACAAAAATTATAGGAATTAAATCTTCATCTTTTTAAAATTATTTTTTAACCTTAGAAAATTTGCAAAAAAAAGTTATTTTCTTTAAATACAGCGTCGATAAGTCGAAAGTTTTAACACTGATTGTAAGTGTATAATGTGATTTCACAAAGAGAATTTTTTTTTAATAAATCGGCGATATATACCTAATTGTTTTATTTAATTTATTCTTTCACACAAGTACAATGAAATAGGATTTTTAACAATGTCATTGCCTTGATTTGGTGGGTTTTATAGCCTTTTTTTTCCAACTTAAAAATAATTATATTTAGTTAAGAAATTTCATTTCATTTCCTTGGAAACATGTGGTTTCCGTTAAATAAAATTAGTTTTCAGAAATTATTATTTTTAATTTTTTGTCACTCTCCCTTACTTTCTACGACTTTGTGTGTTAGATGTTGTTTTTTTGTCTAAAATTCTTAGCTTTCCAACGATATATTACACCTATACATTCAGTATCTTATTTCCGGAAATTCATTTTCAACCTAAAAACGCATTTTTCTTTTTTTCTCTCTTAGCCAATTAACAAATTCTTTCATACTTTATATTCAGCCATTTTTTGTTTTTAATGATTAGAGACAGTTATTTTTTTTAAATAAACCAAATTTAAGGTACTTTAGAGGAATACATATTGAACTTAAGGCATTTAAGCCCTATAAGGTGACTTCAATGTGGACAAGACCTAGCTATCTCAAAGGCCGGTTAATATTAATACACTGGGGTAATTCAAAATCGTTAGAGCCGTTTTTGAGAAAATTGTAAAAATGTATAAATATGAATGAAATTGTACGAACATCGTTCATAAAAGTGCCACTCCTGATTAGCCGATTTCCAGAAAAAGGTTGCTGTAATATCAGTTTCTTACGACTCTTCGTTTTTGAGCTTTGAGCTCTAACAGACACACAGACCATTTTGTGGGACTTTGTTATTTCGACTCAGGGGACCTTAAAACGTGTATTTCCGTTGAAATTTGAGATTCTGAAATTTTCATGATCGAAATACTTTACCTAACTATATATTATACATACAGGTAGACGAAAGTAAAATGTATATTTGTCGTTTTGGTATTTTAACCTGTTTTTTCTTAAAGCATGCATCAAGTGAAACATTATAACTATTGATATTATTAGATTAATTATTTCTATTATCATATTAATCATTTGTACATTAAATTTTATTTAGACTCTGAATATGATATAAATATGGGGAAAATAAAGTTGACCATTGCGCAATGTTTTGAAATTTGAATTTTACATAAAAATTAACGTTAGTTCACTAGAACCATTTTGGTATATCATATAAAATGAGGAAATTTATTCAGGAGAACCTCCTATAAAACTCCACGTTCGATTTACTCACTCCGTTTTATTAATACCAAAATATATGAAATAACAAGATTTTCTCATCATTACAACACGAACAATTTAAAACCAAATTCGAGTCTCTACGATGATTAATGGTCTAGTTATATATAGAAATCACTTTGGGCTTCCACCCATCCTCCTTCCAGCCTAAACCTACCACATTGTTAAGCGGCGACATGGAGTTTCCTAGTCAGGAGTATTTCCCAAACAAGAAGCTGAAGAGAAATCGCGGTGCGCGATTTTTGCATACTTAATCGCATACTCAGTCACTGCCTAGACTAATTACAGAGATGGATTTATTTGTCCATAACTATATAGTTCACTTGAAATTGTCAGGATATGTAGTAGAAAAATTATGTTAATTGAGTTTTCCGACGTTTCGACCCAAACATATGGGTAATCATCAGGGCAACAATTTGAAGGACGACAAGAAGTAAGATTCTTTTCAATTTACAAATTATATTACGATTTCTGATAGTGATGGGCAGTAATAAATTGCGCGCGCACAAACAACTTTTTTTTTCGGATGCCACTACATACCATGAAGATCTATGGCCGCAAGATGTGGCCTCCTTACAGATTATGGCTGCTCGGAGTCAGCAGGCGCACGAAGACCTATATTTCTTTCCCCGAAACAGACCGTCCTTGGTCCGAACCTCAAGGGGGCTATTAAAGGGGACCCAACACGGTCATTCGGAATTGCATTCCGAGGATGGACAGACTGATGGACATGTCTGGCCGATTTCCGAAAATCAAAGGTTCATTCACGAGAAGTGGACGGTGGACTGAGGTAAAAGTAGTGGGGGGGACTAACCACACTACTAGATAGGTTAGTTTACCTAGGTCTTAACACTAGCGGATTTAGTCGAGGTGCGAGTCTCCTCTCCCACCCTGGTGGCTGAAATTTTTTTTTAAAAAGTTCCGAAAAACAACTATTAAAAGAAAAGAGCAATAGAGGAAAAACAATTATTATTGTGACCAGCACTAGTGAATTCTGTCAGGGGGCGTGCCCTCCCTTGGATCGTGGAATAAAAATTTATATCAGTGTAAACATTTCAATACTCACTAATATTGCTAATCAAAAACTTTTTGCCATAGCTTAGTATTGTCAAACAATAATTTCTGTTTAAAGTAGAGGAAATAGTGAAGATTGTGTGATGCGGGCAACAGATTTTCTTACTTTCGCTTAGTCATCTTTATTCTCTCATTCACCCCTTTTTAACACCAGGATATGAACCCGTAATCTTACATTGGAAATTGAATAGCTGTAAATTCGTTAATAGTTGTCCAAAAGGACCGATTTTTATATGGATTTGTAGGGAATTTCATTACCTTTCAAACGACAGGCTTAACGGCGCACACATGTCACAGGCATCAGTAGTGAGAACCCTACAAAATAAGAAAAGAAGCAACAAAATCGGTTCTGTAGTTCCCGAGAAAATCTTGGCACAAACAGACCAATGCCTAAAAATGTTTTTTTTGGACTCAGTGGGCTCCGAAACGTATATATCCGTCGAAAACCGCATATCGAAAATTTGCTCCGATTGCAATACTTTCCTTACCTAGTATAGGTACAGTGGCTTAATAATTAATTATTATTATTATTATTATTAAGCCACTGTAGTATAGGTAGGAAAGTAAAAAAAAAAATACTATAGTAACCATAACTAGCGAATTCTTCCAGGGGGCGCGCCCTCCCTTGGATGGTGGAAACAAATTCCTAAAAAAACACCTATTTAACGAAAACAGAAATATAGTGAAAATTCATCCTTATACACGAATTTCTTAATGAAAAAAAATTATTGTCTGGACCAGCACTAGCGAAATCTTCCAGGGAGCGTACCCTCCCTTGGATGGTGAAAACAATGTCAAATAACACATATTTAAAGAAAAGAGAAATACAGGAAACATTCATACTCACAGACGAATTTTCTAATGTAATATAAAAAAAAGTTATTATCGTGACCGGCACTAGTGATTTCTTCCAAAGAGCGCATCTCCCTCTGGATGTTAGAAAAATAATTCCGAAAAAAAAGATCCAGAAAAATATCTATTTAAAGAAAAGAGTGATGTAGTTTTTGGACCGCCGTGAGTTGTGCTTCTTTCGCAGTTTGTTTCTATCGACTCCGAACTGAGTCCCGTAGGTGAAATACATGATGGAGGAAAACTTATTAAAAAAAAATCTTCATTTATTCTTTCGAACCACCTTTTATTCGAGCACGAGAAAATACGGGTTTTCTTCCGGAACTAGTTTTTACTCAGTTTCAATAGGTCTGAACACATTGCGACCTTCAGCAACTATAATCGCCTTGAAGAATCCATGTGAATCTTAAAACTGGTCACGATAATAATTTGTATATTTATTATTAGAATGTGTTGCTCTTTTATTAAAATAGCTGCTGTTGGGAACGTTTTCGTGAAAGAATGTATTAATTATTTGGTCTCCAATTTGATTGGAATCTAATTATGATCGGAATCGGAAATTATTCTGAATTGTTTCTTAGAGAATTCATTTCCAAGCTGCAGGGCCAGGGACAATATGTGTAAAAATTAGCGTTCATTGACCGTGGTTATCGAAAATATCACTTAAATCAAATTATTAAGTTTAGGTACTCGTTCATCGCACAATTTGACGTTTTTTTAATTTCTTAAACAATAAGTTTTTCGCTTTGATGCACTGTTTAGTAATAATACATGAAAAAAAACAACAGATAAATCTGGAATTTTCGGCTGTAAAAAGTTTTCTCTTGGTGACCCGTGTTAGCAATTAGTTTTTTACATGTCTAAACCCATATACAGGGTGTCTCGTAAGTAGAGGGAAATATTTTAAAGGAGTGATAGCAAAACTCAATAAATACAAAAAAAGTGCATATAAACAATGGTTCGATTTTTAGCAGGAAAGTAGAGAATTAAAGTTTTGTGATTTTATAAGTCACGTTTTTTATTGAATATGAGGTGATAACAAAAGAACTAATTTAAGTAATTAATGATAGCTTAACTGTAAACTAGTCAAATTTACACAAAATAAAAATAAAGTTTGCTTTTGTTAAAACTATTTAATGAGGATTTTTGAGCGGCTTAACTAAGCTAAGGAGTGGGGGAATGGGTAGAGGTGGTGGAAGGGTAGGGATGGGGGAAGCACGCGGTACAGAGGTTCTTCCCCTCTGAGAAAAGTCCTGGATCCGCCACTGGGCCTCACAACCATTATAAATTCCTGATTTTCATTAAAAGTAAATAGTTAAATAGTTTTTCATATACCTTGTTTATATTTTGTAAACTGTCTTCAACTATTTTTTTAAACAGTCAAGTGGGCAACAATTAAAAAAAAAATGTGGAAACTTCACAATTTACTTGAAAAAAAAATCTTTAACTATTGTGTATATTTGTCAGTTCTTTTCCCATTTTTCTGAAACAATTTATTATTTTCGCAATACCTTTCCTTAATTTTTATAAGTAGTAGACTTATATTTTACTAACTTTGGTCTAAACGATTTTCAGGCGCTAGGAAGTAATTATTATATCTCCATTTTTCTCTTGATGTCCAATACTATAAAGAACAATGTCCAAATAAGCTTTTTAAATTCAACACAGTATTATAAGTGGACAATCCACCTGACCCATGGTGCCTGTTATCTCAATGTTAACCTAGCTAAAACGGTCAGTGATGATTGAACGTGCAGGGATCTTTATGATCAAAGCAACCTCTAGCAGTCTATGTCTGTTTTGTTGTGACTTTCAATCACGAATGAACGTGTAAAGATCGCTTAAAATCCTGGTAAACCACGTCACGATTCCTGATTTAAGTACACAGGGTAGAGTCATCAGTCCTATGCCTGATCGGTGCGAGTTGCCTTCAGTAGACTGATGGGCCTCACATGCCCTGGGAGGGGGAGAGGCTTGGGCAGCATGGGTTTCCCTGGTGGACTGTCACCCAAATCTGGGGGGGGGGAGGGGGCGGTCACCCATCCAAGTACTAACCACGCTCCCTCCTCCCTCACGTTGCTTAACTTTCAATACCTATTGCTAGCGCCTTAGCCCATATGATACCCCAGCCCCCACATATATACATATATATATATTTGTATATATGTAATTTATTACATTATATATATATATATATATATATATATATATATATATATATATATATATATAAAATCAAAAATTGCTCATTTTAATTTTGATTTTGAGGTATTATTTTTTTCTGGGTATTAACTAAAGTATTCAATACTTCTTAGGATTTTTTCCTGATTCAAAGTTAGTGCAACCATCGGAAAGCTGCATTATTTCTATTGTTTCCATTATAAGCTATAAATAAAGAAAAACTTCATGAACATTTTTATTTTATATACTTTTTTCTAAGTTTATCCCATTTTGTGTACCCTATAGTCCTAAACCCTTGATAATGTTCCTATGGAATGATGAGTCATCTATTAGTTGTTAATTTTGAGTGGTTGTCCAAAACATTTTCAAGGGTTCAACCATCTTAGGCAAAAAATATTAATTGTGAGAAAAATATTATGAAATAAAAGAATGTAAATAAAATATTAATTTTGTCAATTGTTATAAAAATTTGTATTCATTTGTAGTTTGAGGTGCAAACAATGGAAATCAACTTTGTTTCTTCCTAAAGAAATCTTTTTTCTAAATATCAGGTCTCTTTAGAAGATTATGATATTGAGCAGAAAGCTATAGTATCAGTTACAAGTACATTTAGTTGGAATGTTATTTATTCAGGTTGACCTACTATGGGTACGTACCCACTAGACAAGAGCTAGTGGTTAATACTCATCATCTGATTGTTGCCAGTTGTCTACAATGGAGGTGGTATCGTCTGAGGAAATTCAAAAGTGTCTTAGATTGCATTAAAACCTATATTCCTAATCATAATTTTCCTCTCTAATCATTATCTTAGTTGAGGTCCAAAAGAAATTCGAATTTGATAACAGAATGTAAGAATAAATTACTTACATCTGGTTCATTTTTGTAAAAGTGTTTTGTATTGCTGCAACATTCCTCCTTAATGAATTTGTTTAGCGATTTTTGACTTATTGACATTTCAGTGCTTTCCATCAAAGAGGATGAATTATCTTCCTTCTTTTGTAAAACCACAACTTCTGATTCTGAGCTTAGCTATAACAGTGATTTAATTATTTCTACTATCTAAGTATTGATTATATCAAGAAGTACTCTATTTCAATTAACTTTTTAAAAAATGTCTAATCCATACTAATTTATAAATCTAAAGAGTTTATTTTTTTGAGCTACCAGTGTGATTTGAGCTGATCAAACATTTCAAAAATCAATGACAAGAAAACCTACTTAAAGGTTCTCAAAATGAAGAAAAATACCACCCCCAAAGAGATCTCATAATTTGAAACCACAGTTTCGAATTATTGAGCATCTTCTAGTACTTTGGATCAATAATAAATGAGCAGTTAAATGAAGAAGAAAAAATAAAGAAAAATATTGTACAAAGGAACATGATACTGAGGGATTGGCTGACTCAGCAATACCACAAAATTCGGAATGTACAAAACAGTAATAAGATTCTCGTTAATTAATGCCTGTGAAATCTAGAACATGAATAAAAAACAAAGTTATCTATTGAACCAATTTGATAGAAGAACTAAAGAATATCATGGAATCCATTGGAACAGTATGTGATTATGGTAAATAAAGGCTCAGAAAAAACAGAAATCTGTATAATAAATACAAATACCTCAATATCTCAACAAGCATCAGAATCTAGAGACTAAAATGGTTTGGCCATTTCATTTGAATGGAAGACAAACAGAATGTCAAAGAGACCTTATGGGGGTACTCCTGATGGAAAGAGAAGTATAGGAGCCCAAAGGTTCACTGGAGAGATAGTGAACTCCAAGACAGTGGAGATGAAAGTAAACAGGTCGAAGGCAAAGGTTGAAAAAGTCAGGAACTGCTATAAGCAACTGTTGAGCTAAAAAAAAAAAAATAGTTAGCTCCATTCAGCTGTTTTAAAATAAACAAGGTAGTAAACTTTATTACCATTTATCAAAAAAATCTAATAAAAAATTGGTGAGGTTTAGTAATGTGTTTATGAATTAGTATTGTAAATAATAATAAATTACCTTAGCATTTGTTTCATCTGACTGGAGCTCTATTGGATTTTTTTCAAGCAATAATACAGACTTTCCTTTTCTATGATTTCTTTTTATCTTGCCTGTATGAGATTTTTTAGGTTCAGGTAGATTCAAAACACTGTTCATTTCATTAAAATGAAAATTATTCTGTTCTATTACATTAAGAAAATCATTAACAATTTCTTCATTTTGAAAATTGGAATACTGATATTGCATTTTCTTAGTAGTATTTTGTTTGCATGGGTAATTTTTCACATTACTGTCATCTCTAGTAAATGTTAAAGCTTCGATTTGACAATCATTTTTCAAAGATAAAGAAGATTCATTTAAATCAGGGCTGATAAAATGTTTATTGTTATTTTCCTCTGAATTATGAAAAGTGTGCCCTAAAAATAAATGGTTGTTTTCTAACCAGTGATTTGTATATTCTGTTCCAGATTTAGAGTTGTCAACATTTGAAACTGATTCGAGGCTTCCACAGCTAAAATAATTGTTGCCCACTTCTTGGTATTCATTAGTTGGATAAGTAGCTTTTATCTCTGATATAGTTTTATTTACTTCTTCTTGTTGTCTTTTTTCCAAAAAAGTTTCCCATTTCTTTTGATCTCCCTCTTGTTGTCTTTTCCGTTTAAATTCTTTCAATATAGAATTGAATTCACTTGAATTTACAAACTGAAATTTAATTACAGCTGATTAATTAAATATTTTATCTCTTATTGATATATAAAATAAACATTTATAGTTGTATATAATAATCCTGCAATTTATCGCACTAAAATCCCTATCCTATCCTACAGGTTTCGAGATCTTCTACCACCCTGATGAATATTTCCCCCTACTGATGGGACACCCTGTATACAAAATTCAGTGAGTTTTATTTGAAGCCGCGGGAATTTACGTTCTCACTGAAAGCTACCAAGTAGGAACATAAACTCAAGATACGCTAGGTTGCCGATAAATCGGTCTTTCAGGGTGTCCAGCGACCGAGAATTACCCAAAGTTGGAATTGTACATGAATTTCTCATGTACGGGAAAACTTTGGAAAATGTACTGAAGTTTTTTTTTTAATCTTTTTTTTTTTTTGTTTTGTCCCTTTTTCAGTATGTATAAATAGACTTAATTAAATATTAATATTATGGCAAATTTACTGTTCTGATTACAGATATTTGCATCAAGATATATGCCTTTAAAATAGCATACACTTGTATTTACTGGAATGATAATGAACACTGTTATATTCACATAAAATTATGATAAGATTTTCTTCTTTATTTATCAAATATTTCTATTTATACAAATTAATCATAGATATTAAATTTAAAAACAATTAATAGTTTCTTAAATCCATGAACATGTCCATGTTTAATAATGAATGCTATTTCACCAGGTATCCTGTACCCTTTTCCTCGTCTGGACTCCCATAGAAATAGATGGTATTTTCATCAGGGAAAACCAAATAATGGTAAAGAGAGGCCTTTACTCACATTTATGTTTGTATTGATTCCACGGCAATTAATTAGCCCATCTATTATTAGCATAAATAATATTCCAAGTGAAACTTCATGAATCATGATAAATAAGGACAAAAGGCTGATATAATGGTTCATCCATGTCATGGGATGGACCGAAAAATATATTATCAATAATAGTATGAAAAAAATATTCCAAGCATGAACCTGGATAAAATAAGGTCGACATAGCTGTATTTAGAATATTGGTATAAAGCTCAAATTCTAGGATTCGGAGAATAAAAAAAAATGTTTGTATATCGGTTTTTAGAATATATGTATCGGCTGAAAGGTATATATAGATCTAGTCCTAGATGATAGATTGATACTTTCATTCAGTAATTACTAGAATTTTCTATGTGAAGTTGTTTGGAACCAGACATATAGTTACGAAAGGCCGATATATCACCCAAAATTTTGATCTCTAGTTTTGAGGGATTAGAAAGTATTGAGATTGGGCGGAAATCTTCATGGAAAGATGGGTTTTAGTTTTTATTAAAAAAAAGGATAATGTTTTTTTTCTCAGAAAATGCCGAGATCTGAAGGGACAAATTTGAAATGAAATGAAGAATTTCAGGAAGGCATAAGTTTATAATTTTACTGGACTACCATCTGGTCTACCATTTGCTATGTATCAAAAAGGACAAATAGGACCACCCAGATAGAAAGACCTACACCTGGGGTGTAGACAACAGAAATAAAAAAAGGGTCTATTATGAAGAAGCCCACATCAAACCCTCCTTCGCACAAATTGGATCATCCTAATAATACAGGACTCCCAGCAGATATCGCTGTTCAAGGAAGCTTTTGACATTACAGAAGTAAACAAGTTAGTAGCTTCTCTATAGGAAGAATTTATTGTTGACTCTCCCAGAAGAAATCTCTTAACTGACAGTAACATAGGTCCATAAAAATAGAATAACACTTATGAACCAACTGGAGAGATTCTCTCAGAAGGATTATTAACTGGTCCTTCCTGGCCCCTAAATGTGTGGCCAGTTTAAATAGTTTAAAATAATACATGGCTATCAAAGTTGAAGACTAATCAGGAAAAATCTCTACATGCCCACTGGAAGCTAAAAACCAATCAGAACTATCTTTACCACACCGTAAATTATTGTATAAATTCGCCTGAAAATAGAGAGATGAGGTCTTCTGCCTAGCTTCCTTCATTGGAGACTGAGGCTGCAGCTTGACTCTCAGGCTTCTCCAGATTTGAAACCTGGCACCCCTTTTGTTAGTCCTCCGCAATTACTAATTTGCTTAAAGTGTCTACAGGTGGTGTCATGCTTCTTCTGCAGGTCTTTAATTTCTTGACACATCCAAGATATGTCAGCGACGAAAGGTAGAGGTTTTTACACAGTTAGAGAATTAAGGATACTGAGAACATTGGAAGTAAGAATATCTAACATGGAGTTGATTGAAGATCAGGAATATATTACATCCCTGTCCAGAGTTTCTAACTCTGGTAATATTTTTTCATGGGTGAGGATGACAGAAAGTATTAATTTGAATCAAGGCCGTGAGATTATGAGACAAGGAGAGGAAATTTTTTAAAATATGAAATATAATTCAGAATAATGCCAAATGGCTAATGCTAAAGCCTTTAATGTTTTTTAAAAAAAGGTTTGCTGTGGATATATATATAAAAAAAAGAACATTACGATACTGAGATTCTTCTACTTACTCTTTACTAAAAAAATGTGTGTAACTTAACAATGAACAATCCTCATCAAATCTTTTATTTCATGAGCAATATAAAATGTATATTTATAATTTAGAGGTAAAACAGAAAGATTGACAATTAGGGTTATATGAAAATAGATTGTCAAAACTTGTGAACAAACTGTTAATATCATGCAGTACTGCCTTGCATTGATTGAACATTAGAAGATTATACAAAAACAAACAAATTTATTTTTTATTTAAATAATCTATTATATATTTTTGTATTTATATATAATTTTTTTAATTAATCAATTTTTTTGTAATAATATATTTATAATAATACTGTCTAAATAGTTTTTATTCTATAATAGTATAAAGTAGTTTAATAATAACTCTCTTCTTATGAGTTTATTTTAGACTAGGAGAAGTCAGTTTAGGTTTTAAAAAATAACTAGAAAAAAAATAGAACACTGCATTATACTCACAGAAGATGCCATATCACAATCAATTTCATTATGTCTTAATTTCTCTAGAAATAGTAACTGATGGAAAACTCTTGAATCATGTGAATTGTTGTGATTAATTGCAACAGAAGAAGTCATTTGTTTGACCAAGAACAGTTAACCAATACAATTTCTGTTTTGCCACTGTAATCAATAAAATCTCATTCAATTCAAGAACTAAATACTAAATAAACATTTAACATCAGGTGATAGATAACTAATGATTCCTTTTTTAGAAGCTATTCAGCTGTGTTTACTGGTAACCAGGGTAGATACGAACTAGTCATCTGACAGACTAGTATAAGAGAATCTATAGATTCTGTAGTTTATGATTTTTACTGATCACAAAAAGCTTTGAAAATATTCCGAGAATTTGTGATATTTTTATAAAACAATTTAAAAATACAGAAATACTTTTTTAAACCAGTTTTAGAAAAAATAACTAAAATTGTAATCTATCTTATGAAAACAGAGAAATTATTCATATAAGTATTTTTTCAACTTTATTTTATTTATAAAAACTATGTATTCTAATTTTATAAAGCAATGACAACATTTCACTATGTGTTCTATATTGAGTGGATTGGATCCCTTAGGTGAAAAGAGTATTCATATATTTGTCGTGAAATCTTGTTTAATTAGTTATTTAATAACTACTTTCCACTTTTATAAATTTCTTTCTTAGGATGAGTATTCCAGAAAGCATAATTTTGTCAATTGACAGAACAACTCTTCCACCTCTTCAGAGAGTTTCGAAAAAACCATCAAGAAGGTATTCTCTATATGCATCTGATGTCAGTGAAACAATAATGCCTCCTCATACTAAAATAGAAAATTGGTTGGGAAATCAGCATTTGGTAATTAAAAAAAAAAAATGTTTAAAGTAAATTTATTATTATGTTTTCCATGATACTAGCATTAATGATTTTATTTTAAATTTAATGTATATATTTTTCTTAATATTTTGATTTACATGAATAAATAAATATTTTAAAAATATTATGTAAGTTTAGAAAGCTTAAGTGTTGACTATTAATCTAAATAATTTAGCCCTTTATCGATTACTTAATTATTTGCTGTGTAGTTTGTAATAATTATTTTACTGAAGCTAAAACCTTAAATAAAAAATAATAATATTATTTTTAATAATGTATATTGAACCATAACTAAGATATCATAAATATTCAATAAATATATTTTAAAAATTCTGTTTTTAATTAAAATAACGATAATTATTGAAAAAAGAACATTCATCAGAAATATATTAGAAAAAAATATGAAAATTAATGAATTTTACTTTGTGATGAAAGTAGAAATAGTGAAGTTTCTTTTAACAAATAAATATTATTACATATTAATAATAAATATTTTTAGTTGTTGGTAAAAAATATAAATAAAAGTTTTTTTTCACTGTGTCCATAAGATATAATTAGTGATTAAACAAATTAATTTAAAAATTTTAAGAATTATTTTTTAATTTAAGTATGTAAACTTTGCATTATATTTTTTTCCCTACTGTTTAAATATCTTTAATTTTCAAACTATTATAGGAATGAGAATATGTGATGAAAATGAATATACTTTTAATAATTGTGAAAAGGCATTGCTTCTTGAAAATCAATACTTTACTCCCAGTATGGAGCCATTTAGGCCTTAAAAGAAACCACCCTTGTCAAATAGTTTTCCAACATACTTTAATCAAAAGTGTGAAAGATTTATAACCATCTTGATACATTTCTTATGACTTTATTAGTGAATATGTGCATTAAGAAATTTTATATAAGTATGATATAAAAATATAATAAAATTTTATGTTGATGAACATTAATATTAAATTTCAATAGTAGGTGTAATTCTATTTAATAGTGTTATATTGCTGAGGAAGATGAACATATTAGGGGGGCTCTAATAATATAAGAATAATTAGTTTTTTTAAATATATACTTTTGAAACTGTTACAATATAATGGCTTCTCAAGTGTTGATCAAAATGCCAGTTACCTACAACAATCAAGTGAGTCGTTTATTTCTTTTTATCTTAAGTAGAAACAAGCTAATTTGTAGATATAATAATTAATTACTCAAAACTTTCTATACATACTTTGTAAATCATTCTACTACTTTATATCTATTAAGTTTCTCCTAGTTCGTAATTTGATGGTTATTATTATTAAAGCTGTGAATGGTGGTGGTAGATCAAAGATCACATTCTTTGGAAGTTACATTAGTATCTTCATGAGTAAATTAAGTGTTGTTTTAAAATTTTATAATTTATGGGATGTAACTAAAATGACTAATTATGATTAATTTTTTGTTGATTTATAAATAAAGTTTCTACATGAAACTACAACTACAATATTATTATGTTTATCATAATAAAAAAAACATCTAATGTAGCTCATTCATGATCTTTATATTTATAGATATTCTTTCCTATTTATGATTAGCATCGAACTATTTATGCTGATTACTGATAAAAATCACAATACTTGTTAATGTCACTTTTCATAATCAATATTCATAGTTGAGATGATAAGTTTTTGTTTGTTATAGATAGGTAAAAAAAATGGAGAATCACTTAGGTCAGAATCAATTTTACTTCCTTGCATGTCATCCGATCCCCTTCTTCGAATCACTCAGTTGGAACAAAATCTTCGTTTTCTACAAGAGCAACATCATAGCATGTTAAGTAGCTTACATCAAGAAATAGAATCGCTTAGAATTCGTAATAGAGGTATACAATTTCTAATTTTTTCAACATTAAATGAGTTATTTGATTGTTGGTATGTTAAAAATAGAATTTGATTTATTAATAAATTAAGAAGGAAGAAAAACTTTAGATGATTTAAGATCCTTAAAGCAAACAAATCTATACTATACATTTTTTTATTGATTAACTCAATAAACAGTTGTATATTTAAATCTGAAAAGATAACCATAAAAATCATGGCCACACTCATGGCCAACATTTGCCAATGGGTTCCATAATCCGTATGGGTCAAATACTTGCCCAATGATCATTAAATATTAGGGCTGAGGTCAGTCCACATATTTACCCAATATTTGCCAATGTTGGTCACTAGTGTGGCCCTATCTTAATAACTGTTTTATTGCTATATTTATTTTTTATTGTATCAGGTTACAAATAAGTTTCTGTTCTAACTTTCATATTCAAGAATACTACTTAATGTAATAAAAAGGAATACACAAAACCTGAAGTAAAATGATTGTCAAAATGCATTTAAAAAATCATTTGTAGACTGACTTAATAAGAACTTTTTAAAAACAATTGCAGTAAAAATATCTTATACTGCTATAATGGTTCCCTTCGTTTTTTTTTTTTTTTTTGCCTATAAAAAACTGATTAATTTTACTTTGGAGGTAGTATTGTTAATTTACAATAAGAATATATTACATTTTTAGAGTTACTGAAATTAAACTACTATTTTGTTTTAATTTTATTCCAATATTCCATTAAATAATTTTATGAATTATAAAAATCTAATGAAAAATTGTAATAATTTATTTTTAGATCTACAATTTCAGTTGATATTTGGAAATCCAGGAAATCCAATTATTAACAGTAGTTCGGATTCATCACCAGATGATTGTAAGCCAAAGGTAATTAATATTTTTATCTATTTATATTATTTTGTATTCTGTAATAAAAAAAAACACATAAATCTATTTTCTTAATTTTTTAAAACAAATATTCGATTAACTGAGTGATCTGATCTCAAACATGGCTAAAGTTCGTACATACAAAACTATTCTTCTTTCTTTCTAAACTGCATGACTATATCCTTTAGAAAAACTATAAAGTAAATGGTTCTACTACAAAACCATTTATATCTTGTGTATGTGAAACATCAACTTTGAATAAGGCTACATATGAAAAAGTTGACAGTTTCAAAGGTGATTGCTACAAAGATTATTTTGCAGTTTTAACAAAAATGAGAATTATTGAATAAGGTAAAGTGGACTATATGATTAGCATAAAAATATTTGGTTATCAAAGACAGTAAATTGGAAAAGACTATACAAAAGATTTGCAGAAGGTGGGAATATTTATTGTAGAATACAGAGCTCTGTGACATTATACATTGAAGCAGGCCAACGATCACCTCTGTCTACATTGACAGAAGAATAATAAGTTCATCATTTTAGAAATTTTACTTGATTGATTTGAATTATTATTTTCTTGCGTAGAAGTGATCAGCTCCTTTGAAGAAGGATGATCTCCCTCATGGGGAATCAATTGCGGATCCATTAACAGAATCCTCTCTGATCCATTTAAGATGGATGGGATCTATGTACCCACTGAAAACTTATTTTGAAAAGAATATAAGTTAATGATCAAGCCAGTGAGGGAAGTTCTATAGATGAGAAGAAACTATCAGTTATCAAGGAGCCATTAAACACCTCTATCTAGCGATAGTCAGTTGGTTTAATGAAATTAGTAGAGTTCACTAGGCCACCTCAACATGGACACAGACTAGCTATTAAATTAGATCTGCTTCTTCTTCTTAGTCTTCCTCTTCGTGCCATTATTAGCGTTGAGGAAACTCTATCCAATGCAGCCTTACCTCTTGGTCCCTACCAAGCCGCCTTATTTCCTGGAGGATTTTGTCTCTCTTCTCTCCAATCCGCTGCATATACTCCTGATATCAAATTATTCCACTTGACCTCCTCCCAGTGGGTTGAGCTTCCAGAATCTTTCGTGGATCTCTCTCCTCCTCCATCCGACAAAAGAGGCCAAACCACTTCAACTGTCGGTTTTCCAGTACTGTCCTTAGCTCCGCCACCTCCAGATCCTCTCTCATGCGCTCATTCCTGACGCAGTATCTCCTGGTCTTTCCAGCGGCTCTCCACAGAAAGCCTGTCACAAGGCTAACTTGCTTGTCCAGTATAATCCAGCTTTCGCTTCCATACGTGAGGGTTGGGAGGTATACCGACTTGTGTATGTGCCTTTTTGTTTCCTTGCCAACTTCCCTGATCCCTACTATACTGTTGCTGATAGAGTAATAGACCTGGTTGGCTTTGGATATTCTATTCACTACTTCTTGGTCAATCTTCCCAGTATTGCTGATAATTGTCCCCAAATAGGTGAATTCTTGCACAACTTAAAGTTCTCTCCCCTCCCCATCACAGATCAGCTGGACGTACTCTTGTTCATCTCTTGATATCACTAGGACTTTGCTTTTGGAGCCATTGATAACCATACCTTTGCGGAGAAGTTCTACCTGCCATTCTACAAGGACATGCTGCAGCTTGTCTTTCGTGTCCGCAATCAGAACGATGTCATCGGCATATAGTAGGCTTTGGACCATAATATTCCGCATGTTCCATTTTCGATGATCATCCAAGCAGTAGGGTGCTTAGAAATTTTATGGATTTCATCCATAAATATGATGAACAAGAGGGGACTTCAAGGCTGTCTCCTTGCCTGACTCCTCTCTACATGGTAAAAGGCTTGGAATCTCTACCATTAATCCTTACAATTCTCTTTGCTGCCTTATAACCGATCTAATTGCCATGATAAGATCAGCTGGAACATTTTTTGCTGCCTAAGTATCCCATATTTCTTGTTTTGGAACAGAGTCAAATGCTGCTTTGAGGTCGAGAAATGCCATATATATATATGTGTTCTTGTCTCTGTCCCATGCTTTCACTGTGATGCCTCTTAGCAAGAAAATGTGATCTTGAGTCTGCCTCCCCGGACGAAAGCCTGCTTGTTCGCACTCAATTTGGTTCTCAACTACGAGCCTTAATTTTCTTTCTAAGATTGAAGAGTATAATTTGTAAGCCACTGGAAGTAAGCTTATAGGTCTTTAGTTTTCACAATATGTGGAGCTGCTCTTTTGATGAATGGTGACAATCTCTTGGGACTTTCTTTGTATCCCATATTTTTGGAGGAATTGTTGGAGAAATTTAATTAATTTCTGTCCCCTAAATGTTATTTATTCGGGGGCTATGCCATCCCTTCCCGCCGCCTTACTTATTTTAATTTTTTGGGTGGCATATTCTATATTGTCTTCCTCAATGACTTCTAGACTTTCCAGAATATAATTTTCTACCAGATGTTCTTCTGGGTCAGTGGGTCCTCATCCTGAGAAGTGTCCCTGATAGAACTCTTTCCACCGTTCAAGAATTTTTGCTTCTTCGGTGACCATGCTGCCACTAGAGTCTTTCACATTTCTCACTGGCTTACTTATTTTTTTTCTTAATATCTTTACTTTATACCAGAACTCGTTAATACTTTCCCGGTGGTATTCATCGAGAGTTTTTCTGAATTTTTCTCATGACTCTCTTTTCGCTTGCCGGACTACTGTTTTGCATTGATTTTTGGCTTGGTGGTATTTGTCTAGTAAATTAGATCTGCAAAATGGTAAAATAAAAATTTGGTTTGAAGTTGAGCAAAAAAATAGCGCTATTGCAGAGATAATAGAACTAAACAAAAAATCATTCACAGAATGAAATAAAATAATTGAAGGGATTCTAAATTTAAGGAGTAAAAATAGTGAAATAAAAAAAAAAAAAATGAGTTTCTGGACATATAAATTTAATTTTAAGTGGCTACAGATCCTGCTAATAGAAGGGAAAAATTTAAATTACGATAATGTTACTTCACAATAATGTAGAGTTACTATTGTTTTTTTGTTTTTTTTTCACAAAAATTTATGTATGTCTCAAGGGGCCTTTACATTGTCAATATTGAATATATTGTCTATTTGATGGATTTATTGTAACAATTATATTGAAATTTGTAATATGTATACCACATTCAAAAATATTGATTCAATAATATTGACTGTGTAAGGTGGACTTTAGATTGGTGATGCCATTAGAAAATGTTATGTATTTTCTCCTTTAGTAAAAGATTCAGGCATACCTGTTGCTGCTATTGCAATGGCTGATGATTATCTGTCATTGTAATCTATTCTATTAGAAGAAAGGATTTCATACCATCAAATTATTCTATTATTTCATATCATGGATGCAGGGATGCCCATCCCCTCCCCCAAGGCCGATGGTGCATGATCTTTCCCCCACTCCCCTCCCAAAATATTTTATTATTCTCCTCTTCTTAAAAACAGTGCAAGCGAAAGTATAATTTAAAAAATTGTAGATTATAAATAATTATATATCCTGCAGACTGTTCCATACTTCCCCTCTTCTTTTGGTTGGAAACTTTTTATTTTGAATATTTATAATACCATCGAAGTGTACCTCCCTCAAAAATTGAAAATCCCCTCAAAATGTACCCTCCTCAAAAATTTTGATGGCACAACTTGCGCCATCAAACCCCCTTAATATGTATTTTTATCAAAATATTAATTCAACTGTAATCAATTTATTTTTAATATTTTAACTATTTAAAGTCAAAAAAGCTTATCATTCAATCAATTTTTATTGAAAAATGAAATGAAATGAAAAAAATGTTTTATTATTCTGGGACTGTTGTCCCTTAAGAACAAAATATGAATACAGATTATATGTCTGTGTGGCTACAATTGAATTGTATATTTACAATGAAAGTTGACTTACGATAAAAATACAGAAAAGAGAAAAAAAAGAACAAGTAAATTGTACATATGTATGAGAAACTAAAATAACCTTAATAAATTGAGGTACTCTCTGGTGGTGCTCAGATATTTCTCTGAGATATATTTCACAATCATTCGGATTGAGAAAGGAGTAGGTGCTTAAAGAGGAGTGGTTTAAACGAGGAAACTGATTGAGCGTGTCGAATATCTGGTGGGATGGAATTCCAGAGGGAGGCGGCTTGTATTGCAAAGGATTTGTCAAACGCAGCAGTTCGGGGAGGAGGAGGATAGAGGTCGGAAGTACGAGATCTGGTGGGACGGGATTGGATGGAATATTTGAATTGTAAGCTGTGAAAAATGTAGGAGGGTCGATGGGTTCTAATAATTTGGTACAGAAAGGTGGCTAGGAAGTACTGACGGCGATAGGATGGGTAGAGCCACCTCAACTCAGTGTAATACTGGGTAATATGCGTATCCCTTGAGATTCCGAAAACAAATCGTAGTGCGCAATTCATTAGGCGTTTAAGTTTGGCCTCGGAATCTCCCGGGAGTCCACCGTACACCATACAGCCGTAGTCGAAGTGGGGGAAAACAAGGGAGGAAACTAGGAGTTGACGGGACTTATATGGAAGGAGATATCGTAGACGATTGAACTGTTTTAGGGTGGAGATAGTGCGACGGGAAATTTGGGAGATGTGAGGTTTCCAGGATAGGGATTGATCGAAAGTAACACCTAGGTTTTTAACGGTGGTGTAGAATAAGATAGGTGAGTTGTTCAGGAAGAGATTGGGAGATACTGGGGAGGATTTGAGGAGTGAAGGGGATCCGATCAAGATGGCTTTTGTCTTCTCGGCGTTCAGAGTGAGCCTATTGAGGTTTGCCCAAGCACTTATTCTGTCAATATCTTCCTGAAGTTTTTGAGTGGCATCTGAGATATCTGTCGGATTAAAGGAGAGGTAAATTTGAATGTCGTCGGCATACAGGTGGTAATGACAGTGCAGGATAGAGGATGGGAGGTCATTTATATAGATGGAGAAAAGGGTGGGGGATAAGGAAGAGCCTTGTGGGACGCCTCTGGTCAGAGGTAGAGATTCTGATGGTGGGTTATTAGGAATTACAACGTACTGGGAGCGACCGGTTAGGAAGGATTGGAACCAATTAAGGGAACTAGAAGAAAAAGAGATATTTTTAAGTTTGGTTAGGAGGATGTTGTGGTCTACTGAATCAAAAGCTTTGGAGAAGTCTAGGAGAATAAGGATGGTTAGTTTCTGCTGATCTATGGCTGTGTGAAGGTCTTGGGAAATTTTGATTAGGGCAGACTGAGTAGAATAACCAGGCCTGAATCCAGACTGGTAGGGATTTAGGAGATTATTGTCCTCTAAAAAATGGGATAGCTGGGATTGGACTAACCGCTCTAATGGTTTTGAGAGGTTTGAAAGGAGGGAAATCGGTCGGAAATCATTAGGAACTGATGGGTTTGAAGTCTTCTTCAATGGGCGTACTAGGGCGGTTTTCCAGGATGTAGGGAAGGTAGCATTTTGAAGAGAATAATTGTATATATGATAAAGGATCGGAAGAATGGATGGCAATGCGGCTTTAATCAGTCTGACTGGGATGTTGTCGGGACCGTAATCATTGGTATGGGACTTCTGAATGGATTTAAGGAGCTCATCTGGTGTAATATGGGAAAGAAAGAAGTGATCAGGATTAAAGGAAGAGAACATAGGAGCCAGACTGGACGTGGGAGATGTGGATGCAAGAGGACAGGAGACAAAGTGAGCGTTGAGGTTATCAGCAGAAACGGAATTGGACTGAGACTGGGGTGTATTACCAATGGTCAGTTTTCTAAGAATAGCCCACGTAGCCTTGGTATTGGGAGAGTTGGATAGGGAATGATGGTAGTAACGGGATTTAGCACGGCGTACTGCTGATTGAGTGCTATTTCGAAGCTGTTTGTAGGAGAGAAAATCATCAGGAAGTCGAGTTCGTTTAAACCGTCGCCTTGCAGCATCTCTTTCTCTCATACACTCCCTCAAAGCAGGGGTAAGCCAAGGAGCTGGAGGATATCGGATGGTTTTTGTGATAAGAGGAGCATGTCGGTCGAGGATAGAGTGAAGTTGAGTGGTTAGGATTTCTACCATGGTGTCTATGGATTTTGAGGAGTAGATGGGATCCCACTGGATATCGTCAAGACCTTCTGACAATGTTTCGTGAGTGCATTATGTGAGTAAATTATGCATTTAAGTGTTATTTTTTATCGTGATCTTATTCAATTTAGGTATGTATAAAAGAGTTCAAAGAATTTAAAAATAAATAAAGGGATTTGTACAATTATTGTTCTTTTATATTTTTAAAAGCGATTCCTCAAAAAAATAGAATCCGGCTTCCAATGGTTTGGGCATTAAATAAACTTCAAGATTAGTATACTGTTTTTTTTTTATTAGTTATCAATTAGAAATTATTATTTTTTTTAATATTACAATTGCACCTGCTAAGCTGTTCTTGTCACTTATAAAAGGTAATTATTCTTATGATCAGAACAAACCTTTGCATAATTACTTTTGTAAGAAATCTGCCATAGTAATGTAAACTTATTTATTTTTTCATGGTTCTAAAGAGATTAGTATTGTGACAAAATGAAAGAAATAATTTTTATTATTACCATTCATACAAGGTCTTAGATTGATTGATTCAAATCTTTCCATTCAGCTCTAATTCTTGGCTTAGTTTTATAGTCAAACAAATTTAATATTGATGAAGCACATTAGGTTTCAGATCTTCTCGTGGATTATTCAATAGTCAATTGAATATATACTATATAATATAACAGTTAAATTACACATTTTAAAAATTATTTGTATCTGTTGATAGAAATAAATTTGATCTATTTGTTGTTTCAGATAGTTTTGACTCCAAAAGAAGTTAATACTCGACCACTCCAAGTAGAAATATTAGAAAAAGAAGTTTCTGAATTAAAGACAGCATTGTTGGAGGCTAATTCAAAAAATTCAAGTCTCACACAATTAGTTGATTATCAAAAAAAGTAAGTTTATATTTTTAATTAGAAAATAATAAATACTATTCATTAATTTTTTTTACTAATGAAAATAGGTAAATACATTTTTTATGTTTATGAAATGCTTATATTTGTTTGAAAAATTGTTTTTCTTTGTTTAATACGAAATTTGATTCTATAACCCTTCGTTATGCTAAAAACTCTTGAGTAGTGGCAGCTCTGGCTATTAGGACTGTGAAACTGCAGCACCTCTCATTTTCACTTGATATTTTTTATAACATTCAAGGTAATGAATCCTTTTTTTTTTTTTCTTCAATTGTTTCTTTTAACAAGCACAATACATAATTCTTAAACTAAATGTCCTTGTCCTGACTTTTTTTTTTCTTCCTTCTCCCCTTCCTTGCCTTTGAGGATATATGGGATTTTCTCAGGCCAGGGGATGATGAGGGTGGGGGATTAATGACAGAGGTAAAAATCCTGCTGGCACCAGGACATGAACTCGTACTTGTGTTATTCCTTATAATTTCAGTTATTACGTTGCTGAGCAAGGAGCGTGCACATGCGTTAGTCCGTTTGGCCATTCCGCCCAACTCCTTGTCCTGGCTTACTTCATCTCCAATTTCCTCCTCAAGTGGATTGAATTTATTTGTATACACCCCTGTCTCTCAGCCACAGCTCCAGCTCCCTTCATCTGGGTTGAGTGTCTAAGAGGACCAACACAACTACCAGATTGATAGAAAAAAAGTCACCTCTGTCATCCACAAGTACCATCAGACTCCTTAGGAGGAACCAATAGAAGGTTAAAGTAGGCATTGATAGGGATGGGGGATCAGGGAATTCATAAGCAAGGGAATTATCATTGCAGTCCATAAAACCAGCTTCTGGTCACTCATAGGTTCTACTCCAAACCTATCCGTCAACGTTTGGATTTGTTTAGTTATTTTCAAAAGAATCCAACACAAAGTTATTTATGAAAATATTTAGAGCAAATTCAAATTAAACTTTTCTATTTGGTTAGCACCATATGTTTTTTTCTTGATATTTGTTAATATTTTAAAAACTAAAAATATTTTAATTAAAAAAAAACAAACCGATTACAGAAATTGGGAAATTGTAACCACCCTGAGTAAATGTATTTCCTTATCGGCTGAAACATCTTGGTAGATTAATAGGGACAAACATAAAGTTTATGGATTTTTTGTTCTATTCATTTTAAGATTGAAAATATACCTATTAATAAATGATATATACCACTACTGTTAGTGCAAAAGATCGTATGTAAAAATTTTCAATTTTTATTCTATTTGTGCTAAAGGTAACTTTTTTTAGTCTGCAACTAACATAAGTAGTCTGCTACTATAGAAAATACCAGAGTGGAATAAAATATGAAATTATACTAGTAAATCATAAAGAAATAATTAGTTTTATGCTCTCTTATAAAACATTCAGTTTTTATATACGACCTTTTGCTCTAACAGTCTAAGGATGTCTCTGTATATACACTGACAGGCAAAAAATTCTACTCACTTGATTTTTTCATGTTTTCATCTAAAAATATTTCTGCTTTGGATTGGTCTATTGTTTTTAATGAATAAATAGGTAATTTTTTTGTTTGTTTTCAATTAGGAATGTTAATATAGAGGACAATAACCCTTAATCCTTAATTCAATGAAATGATTCTAGATTCCAATGTTTACTTTCTATGGAATCAAAATGTTTATTCAGTATCATTAGTTCAGTGCCATTTCTTGCAGCACATTTCTTAGTCTCCGGCTTTTAATTTTTTCAATATTAAGTTTAAAAATGCCTCTTAGTGCTGAGGATGTTGCGCGTGGTGTGGCACTTATAGATGATGGACATTCCCTTAGATATGCAGCTAATGCCATCGGAATTCAATATGAAACTTTACGAGACTCCATCAGGCGTTTTTGGGAAACTGGTTCTTACAATAGAAGGCCCGGTTCTGGATGACCTAGGGTAACAGAACCACGGGATGACCGGTTTTTGACTTTGAGAATTTTACAAAACCAGCACCTTACCGCTGTTCAAGCAATCCATCAGCTCGAAGAAGTTCGAGGTGTGCAAATTTCTGAATTAGATTAAATGAGTATGGATTAATGGCTTTTCGTCCAGTAAGAGGACCAGAGTTGACCAGAACTCACAGAGTAACACGGCTGGCTTTTGCTCAAGAACACAGCCATTGGACTATGGACGAATGGACTGCTGTACTTTTTACAGATGAGTCAATATTCGCTCTTCAATCTCCAGACGGGCGTGAAAGGGTGTGGAGAAGAAGAAACGAAAGATATGCAGCCTGTAATTTTTCCCAGAGCCAACCTTTCCAACATGATTCCTTAATGGTGTGGGCTGGGATTTCAATGGAGTGCCACACAGAATTGGTTGTTGTTCGTGGAGGATCTTTGCTGACCATTCGCTATGTAGATGAGATTTTGGAACCTATTCTCAACAAAATCGGCGATCGTTCTATTCTAATGCACGATAATGCACGCCCACATGTCGCCCGCATAGTGCAGACATTCCTTCAACAGAACAATATTGAGGTTTTAGCCTGGCCAGCACGTTCTTCAGATTTTAACCCCATTGAGCATTTATGGGATCACCTCGGAAGAGGAATAAGAGCGCGTGCAACACTTCCTGATACACTACAGGACCTTGAAATGGCTCTTCGGGAGGAATGGACTATCCTCCAGCAAAGGGACATTTCCCGACTGGTGGAAAGTATGCCGAGGCGTCTTCAAGAAGTAGTGAAGGCAAGAGGAGGAAACACATGCTACTAAACGATGATGTAATTAATTTCTTTTAGAATAATAATGGTTCGTTTTTCAATCTTTTTTTCTCTAATCTTTCTTACCCAATCACATTTTGATTATTAAAGGTAAAAAAGTTTATAAAATTCCATAAATACTAAGTATTATCTACAAATACCATGTATTATATACAAATACAACATTACAGAAATATTTTTAGATGAAAACATGGAAAAATCAAGTGGGTGGAATTTTTTGCCTGTCATTGTATATATATATATATGGTAGGCCACCTGGTATATATATATGGTAGGCCACTGACGGGTCTCACATACCCGGGGGGAGGGGAGAGACTCGGGCAGCTTGGCTTTCCCTGGTGGACACCCAAATTGGGCGGTCACCCATCCAAGTAATAACCACGCTCGACGTTGCTTAACTTTGATTACCTATTGCAAGCATCTTAGCCCGTATGGCTGTATATAGGGGCTATATAGCCATACGGGCTAAGGCGCTTGCAATAGGTAATCAAAGTTAAGCAACGTCGAGCGTGGTTAGTATATATATATATATATATATAATAGTTACTTTATTTAAGAATATTAAATAGTTATATTTATAGGCAAATAGAAATAATAAAAAAAGAAAAGGAAACTGAACAACAAACGAGACTTGATGATGCTGAGAACCTCATTAAACGACTTATCAAAGAAAATGAAGAACAAAGGAAGGAGGTAATTAATGCATGAAAGATTTTAATCAAATGAAATTATTTTAAAATTCAAGGCAATTTAAAAGTACAAGAAAAAAATTATTTTGAAATTTAGATAAAATCTGAATTTAAAGTTAATAATATTAGGTAGAAAAATAAAGAATTTTCAAGGACCATAAGTTTTTATTTTTTCTGTTTTTAATTCAAAATAAAAAATGTTCTGTATAGTGCAGAACTTTCCTTTTTTCTCTAACATGCTTTTCAGGAGTAGTAATTAAAGTAAGGTTTTTTTGAAATTCCACAGGTTAGCACTCTTAGAAGTCAAATCAATAAAGCTAGTGGAAGTGGTAATCGTTACAATGGTGGCAGAAGGAATGGTGATTATCAGAGATTTCCTCCTTTACAAGCCCAGACTTACTGGGGAAATGGATCTCAAAAGCATAGGACCAGGTATTTGTTTATTCACATTTATTTTTCTTTCCACACCTGTTAATTATATTTATTAACAATCGTCTGATATGCTGGCTATATAATGAGAAGAAAATAAAATAAGTAAATAAACAGATAATTAAAAAATAAATAAAATAAAGAGGCTTGATAGGCATGAGGAAAAGCAGTACCCAGCGGTACCCCTTTTGTGGCTTCAATTTACTTACGTAAATTATCATGGAAATCATACAGAACTTTCCTATTGTCTTTTTTTGGTAATATGTTCAACTTACAGAATATTTTCTATTAACAATTTATTCTATCTCTCCTTCCCTCTTTCTCCCTCCCACAGGTGAATCTATGGGGAGAGGGCTTTCGGGCTGAAGCCTCTTCTCACCCCCAAAATGGTAAAATATGGCCAGTTTTTATAGAAAAAAATATTAAAAACTATCTCTTAAAGTATTATTGTTCGTATAATTACATTTAATAGGACTTCAAGAATCACTTAAACACCATTTCATATAGTTAATTTTTTTCTTTTTTTTTCAAATTAATAATCGTTATATAAATGAAAAAAAAAGCTTTTGGGCTGAAGTCCCCCCAAAATTAAATCCTGGATCCGCTAGATGAATTATTAACAGTTTAGTTTTCTGAAATCAAAAATCTTAATCAAGCTATAAAATTCTTTCTCTGAAACATTATATTTGTTATTTAAAAGACTGATTTTTTTTTTTTTTTTACTCAAATCATTTTGTAGTCAATTTTCTTTCTTGTATAATAAATAAATTTAGTGATAAATTATAAATTTTTAATATTTTGTCCCCAGACATGTTAGTCATTGAAAACTACCATTAAATAGGGGAAGTCCAAGGATTTTATTTTAACTGTTTGGTAGTCCCCCTGATATTTCATATAACCTGCAAAGCTAAAAATTACCAATTTATCAGAAAATCACTGTTCCACTTATCTTCTCTATCCATTTCTCAAAGAACTTTGATTAAATTGATTATTAAATTTTCCAATCCCAACTCTATAAATTCAACTTACCCAATAATAACTTTACATTTATTGTACTTCTTATCTATATGCTCCCAAGTAGTTACCATTCCCTACAACATCTCTAATTTCCTTCCCTTCTTCTTTGATCCAGAGTGATAAGAATGACAGGTGGTCAGTCATTTTTAAAAAGTTAAGATCAATGTAAATATATAGTAAATACTACAGCTAATTTTTTACACCATTATCTATCTATCAGATTCATAGCTTCTTTCTTCAAAACTGTATTATAATAAGACTTTCCATGCATCTATTAATTCTGATAATCTGCTTTTCCTATTATATTGTTTTATCTATTTAGTTATTGCTCTAAATATTATGAATTGTATTCTTGATTAGTCCTGGTTAGATTTTAGGTTCCCTAATTCATAATTTCAGGAGTTATTGTTTGAACACATAATTTTTTTCAATTATTATTATGAATCTCTGTTCATTATACATTTTAATATTATTACAGTGAATAGAGATACTTAATATTATTATGGATATATTTGTCATATTGTAAAATTTATAATAATAATTAGTTTGCTTGCACAAAAAATTCGCACAGTATATTGTTTAGTGATTTAATGACAAATTAATAAGAAAAGAAAATAATGCAACATCTCATAAGATAGAGAAATCAATTGTTACTTCCTCGCTAATTATAATCGACAAAGGAAACAAAAATTAATTTAGAACTTCATTAGTCTTTGGAACCAACATATTTCAAAATTTCAATGAGCTGTATATTTGCTAATGATTGTCTGATTTTTCTTTTATAGAGAATTTAATAATCTTATTATAATTATGGGTAGTGAGTGGAGGAAGTGGGAACAAAGGAGAAAGTGGGTAATTTTTGACAGACTATTTTTGCCACCTGAAGGAGATGAAAATATTCAAAATGGGTGGCTCACTCTTGGAATTTGATGAAGAATTAATAAAGATATGGCTTAGAGACAAAAAAAAACTTGATAAATAATATAAACTCCTCTTCTTTCAATCATAAGGACCTCAAGTCGACAAAATGAAACATTTATCCCATGGTAGCAGTACAATTAACGTGAAGTTGTATGGATGTGAACCCTTTGCCTTGCATTATCTCAAAAATGGTACGTTTTTTACTTTAAAACGCAGAGTACGCATCAAAATTTTCAAATCCAAATTCATCCTGTATCAATCTACAGACTTACCACCGTTCTAAAATTAAAGCCTTTCAAAATGTTTAAATTAACATTATTTATTTTAGAAAGAAAGCAAAGTGGAGGGTACGATTTGGTTGTCCCCACTCACCACTATTCCTCTTCCCTCCCCCATGAAATTCTGAATCCAATGGTACCTTATTCATGGTATTTGAGCATGACAGGAGCTTATATTTGGTACAAAACCGATTTAGTGCCTTACTATAATAATATATGTGGGAATAATAATCAATTGAATTTATGAAAAATGTATTTTAAAACAAATAAAATTATATAGAAAACAAAATGTATAAATTATACAATATAACAAAAATATTTTACACTCATTATCAATTCACATGTGTTGTAAGCTTTATTTGAATATTTCCTTATTCTATCAAATTTTAATTTAATTTAAAGAAAAGAAATATATTCCTTTAAATTTATCTTTTCATAATTTTGACCTAATAATTTTAATTTTAATTAAGTCCTGAATACCACAACGCGAGGGGTCAACTAGACCAAGAAGTAGTTGGTCAACCAGCACCTGCATTGCCACACCTAACAAGAACATACAGTCAACCATCACAGAATCAAAGGCATCGTTATTATAGGTAAAAATAATGCTTAAATAATATCACAATGTTTTAATACTGTCTTGTGTAAAAAACAAAAACAAAAAAGTCATCATTCCTTCTTCTTTGCTAACATCCTCTGATTATTCAAGAATATTATCATGGCAGTTTTGGATGTCATTTCTTATTATTATGTTATTATATTTTTTTCCTTTTTCTTTAGTCATGCTTAATAATAAGGTATTCAAATGTTTTCATCAAAGATAAACCGAGCCTTTAGGATATTATAATGAACCGTAACCTATCTTCTAAAAATGATGTTGATGAAATGTGGAACTATTGTAAAGAAACTATCAAGCAAGTAGCAGAATGAGTACTGGAATTAGAGGGAGCACCTTGAAGGTCAGTATATTTTGATCAGAATACTAGACAGCAGCATAGAGAAAATAATAAAGCCTGTAAAAAAATTAATAAACTCTTCAGGCTGTTTTTATTATGAATTATTAAGACAAGAAGAAAAACATTTGCGTAACAGATAAAGAAGAAACAATCAGAAAGATTAGAGATTTAAGTAGATATGTTAATACCAGAGCTTTCTACAGACAGAGAATGGCCAGCAATGAGCATTTAAACTAAGATCAAATACTTAGAGAGGGAATTATGGAAAACTCATCATGGACAAATGATCCTTAAAAGGTAGTCTAACGAATTTAAAAGCCTGTTGGGAAGTTACAAAGAGTGTAAGCTTATTGAGCCAGAGGATGATGAGGAATCAAGAATGAGATTCAGAATCTAAGAATGTGATAATATCCCACCTCAACTTCTGAAGGCTGGAGAAAATGAAATGACTTAAGTGATCTTTATTTTTTTAGATTATCTCCGTAAAGGGCTTTTGGCCTTCCCTTATCCCAATGTTGGGGGAGAATAAGACCTAGATGCTGAAATGGATCAGAAGAAGTGTTCATTGTACATGTAGAAAATGAATCAAACAACTATATATAAAATATATTGATTTAATTAAAGAAAAATTATAATCAAATAAAAAAAATATTGCTGCTGTTGATAGAGGGTACAAAATTATATACATTGGAGGTTAGAAGGTTGGTATTAGAATTTAGTTGAAATTACCAGGCTGAACAGGTAGATGCTGACTGATGGAATCATTCAGAAGGGATTCCTATCGAAGGACTTGCTGATTGTGGGAAGAACTTAAATCTGGGTTGGGTATTATGGGCTTCCATCTCTGCTTCTCTTTCCTGAGCCACTTCTTGAGCATTGAGTCTACCATACTTTTCTTCTAACAGTCATGTAAACCATGTTGCTTGCTCTCATGTGTACCTTGATCCCCCTTGTCCAGGTCCTCATATAGGACACTGGTAGATATCTCTGGTCTTTCTTCACTGACAGATTGTACTACTGTTTTGACATGTTTAAAATTATGTATTTGTCATTGTGCATTAGCAATCCCCTACCTTGCCATTTCTGGTACATGGGAGGGAGAAAGGAGAGGTTTTTCTTGAAGTATAACCAAACCTTTTCTAATCAGAGTGGGAAGGTCAAAATTCGTTCCTTGGATGCTCCACAAAATAAAGTTCAACCTGCCCAGATGCCAAATTCAAATCGAGACTTTTTTTTTTTAGTGTTTCTTTATTTGATTATTGTATATAATTTACAAAACTAATATTGAATAATAAAGCCTTAATTAGTAAATTTAATTGAAGTATACCTAAAATATCAATATGGTGGAATCTGTAAGGTTAGACTGATATTGGCTACCTGGTCTAAAGATACTGTGGGAGGTAATATATGAAAAAAAATACTTGAAGAAATTATTACTTACAAGCTTTAGCAGCATTCCTTCATGCTTACTAATTTCTAATGTTATATTAATTAATAGTCTCTTTGTTATATGAAAATAAATTATAATTGATAGTCATAAATTGTTAAACGCCACTGTTGTATTATCTATTTATTATGGTGAAATAATTTATTTTTTTAAGTGTGGGTAATGATTTAAGTAACTGAGAATTGATATAGAATATTAATAGAGAACTTACCTGTTTCAGTAATGGTAATCACTTCTACCATGGAGATGAAGGAGATGGAAGAAGAAGATATAGAGGCAGGGGAGGGTCGGGGAATCACAAAGATGACAACTAAAGCAAAGGAACCGAGTGTACTGCTGGAAACATGTTTAAATGCACTATATACTTCTCATTCATTTTTAATGAGCCACTTTGAAGATTTACACATAGAATAATTAGAAAATGAAATTTAATATTCAAAGAAGTTGTTTTATCTTTCCTATTTGGTTTTCTTCTTTTATACAGCTTTGATAATATTTTCTTTTTAAAATAATTATTCATTTTTAATAAAAAATTATTACTGAAAACTGAATAATTTTCTATAAAAATTGTATTCCTCATAAATAGTGAATGAATTAAAAAAAAAAATATTTTCTTTACCTTAAAAATAGAGTAAAATAAATAAAATAGGTGATAAATATTCAGGATGCAGTCTTTTTTTTTAAAAGACAATTGTGAAATAAGAAAAAGAACAATTGGGAAATCCTCTCACCCTGACCTTTTCACTTACTTATCAAATGTGTCTGTACTTGAACACTCTCAGTGCTCACATCACAGTTAGTTAGAGAAAATATTACAAATTTGTATAAATGGATTATATACATTATTTTTAATTTTTAGTTTGTATAACTATATATTTCATTTTTAATATGTGTATTGTAATATTAGTTAAGATTCATGTACCATCAATCACTATAGTTTATTATTTACCATTATCGGTCGTATAATATTATATCTCTGATTGTATTTTAAAATTTTCAGCCCTGAAGATGATCCACATGTTTAGGTTGAAACGGCTCAAATAAAAAATAAAAATTAAAAAAAAAAGGACTGTTTCCTGAATATTTATCACCTATGATATGTGGATAAGTCGACTAACTTCCTTCAATAAAATAAATAAACAAATTTATATATATATATATATATATATATATATATATATATATATATATATATATATATATATATAATAACAATTTTAATTATTCAAAGAAACAGCAGCTTTTAACAGCAAATATTATACTAATGTTATAATACAAACGCCATTCCCCTCCCCTATTAGAATGTGTATTTTTATACATATATATATTTAAAAGAAAAAATAATAATGCATCATTTATTTATGTTGAGCCTTGTGGCTTATCCAAAAATTTAAGTGCAGAGAAGACTATATGTAAATTTCAGGCCAATTAAGTGGGAGATTTATTATGTGGCTTCCCAGATTTTCATTCTGATGAAATGATTTTGTCATATTTAAAACCTAATTAATCTATTAGTAAAATACAGTATGTTTACTTTAAACTAACTTAAAAAAGTAATGATAAAGTGTATTTTTTTAATTTTTTCCTTGTTCGTTCGAGATAATCTAGTAAATATAAAACAATCACAAACCACTGTTCATGTTATTTTATTGTCAGATTTAGAGCTTTATTTAATTTAACCTCATTGGAAATAATTTAATTAAAATTCTTTACTAGTTTATGTCTCACTGAAGTAAGCTTTTTGTATTAATGTCTAGCTTTTATAAAATATTATCAAGCATATCATTTTCATTTATTTGTTTATTTTTTATAGATCTTGAAATTTCCTTCTTAGTGCTAACAGAAAATTATTATTGTTAAACTCATACTGTTATAAAAATAACTATGCTTTCATTGTTTAATTAGACTACTTAATAATTGATTATTTATATAATTAATCAGTGAATGCTTTATTGTATATTGTACATCTAAATGATGAACTAGACTAGTTATTAATGGGTTGGAAATAGTTTTGAAGAAGAGGTATTATTTCCTTTACTAAATAGAAATATTTATTGAAGACTATTTGTTAATAACATTTATGTGGTATAAAATTTATTAAAAAGTTATATTGAAAGTAAAAAATTTTATATTGGTACTATTTTTTTTATTTTATTTTATTTGTTTTAATCACCTGTACTTATTTCTTTTTAAATAAAATATTTTTTAGCATACAAGGATTTACAAGTATGAACTAGGAAGTGATTAACTAATACCCTAATGCTTATGAGTACGCTAAAATGAAGTGTTACGTGCACAGAAAAATGTCTAAATTAGGACTGGGTAAGATTGTATTATTCAAATATTATGAAGCAGACATTGAAAAGTAGTTGATCCAGTCTAAATGAAGAATGGAATTGGTACATTTGGGAAAAGTTGCCAAATTTCATGAAAGATTTGATTATCCCCATAATTATTTAAAAGATTACTAAATTCGTTACAAAAAAAAAAAAAAAAGAATTGAAATTGAACAATTTTTAGCAAAGATGCAGCTTATTGTTGTTTGTAAATACTGGTTTAAAACATGAATGAAGTTATAAAATAATTTTCGTTTCCTTGGTTTATTACAATTACTCATTGAAATTTTTATTGAATATAAGAATTGATTCCTCAATCCTATGATACGTTGCATTATATTTTTTACTCATTATTTTGTCATTTGTTCACTGACCAATATTCTATGTGAATTAATCGCAGGGACTAATTAGTTGTAGTGTTATTGGTGGTCCAAATAACCAGACATAATCCACATTAACATAAGTAACACTAGATGGCCAAGTCAATGGTGAATCACTTAAGGTGGAGGTAGTTGAAGTGAAATCTCCCTCTATTTTAATGGCATCCAGAATTCCAGGTAAGGAATACCACATTTTCTGTTGATGGATGAAAGCTGAACGATTTTAGCTAGGAAGTAGCTTAAAATGAATTTCTTGAAGACTTCTGTTTTTTTTTTGTTTTTTTACAACCATCTTGATTCCATGTCTTTCATAAGAGGTTTCACGAAAAGTGATGGGTGTTTTGACAAGTTGGAATTAATTTTGGAATTGATTTTTGACATTTGGGAAACTTTTAAGTGACTGATATCTTCCACCTTTTCATTCTCGATTTTTAGGCCTACAACACTAATCCAACAGCTAATAAATTTGATTTTTAATACGTTTTAAATGCATTTTTCAAGATACAGCTTTAGCCCCTGCGTCATGAAGGTCAGGAGTTGTTTAAAGGACCTCATTCTATTAAGATTCACCACCTCAGCATATCATTTAAATGCTTTTAACCACTACAGGCATTTGGATCTACGGGGTAGAGGGGGAGGAAGCTTTTGGGCTGTAGTCCCCGCCCCTCAAAATAGTAAAATATAATCATGTTTAATGAAAAAAATATTGACAAATTATCTCTAAAAGTATTATTGTTCATATAATTACATTTAATAGGACCTGAAGAATCATTTAAATACCATTTCGTATAAGCAGTTAGTTTCTTTTTTTTTCTTCCACATTATCCTAAAGGGTCATACAGAGGTGCCCATTCACCATCGAAATCGACGGCGCATGAACCTCCTCCCTAGATATTTTGTTGCCCTCCTCTTCTTAAGAAGAGTTCAAGCTGAAATAGAATTTTTAAAATCATAGATCATGTACAATTACACTTTCAGTGGTCTGTTCTATACTTTTCCCTTGTTCACTAGTTTGAAATTTTTCATTTCAGAAATTCATAACCCTGTCAAAATATTGTTCCTCAAAAATTTTGATGGTGCAACATGCGCCATGAAACCCCCTTCTGGACACCCCTGTGGTCATAATAATTTAAGTAGGGTTTTTTGTCTTCCCTTCTTTGCAAGTTAGGTGTTTTTTACCGGGTTGGAGGAATTATGGAGTTAAAAGTTCCTCTGCCACCAGGATTTGAACTCTTAATCTTCGGGTTATCATCTGGTTGCCGGGAAATGCATATTTTACACACCTGTTAGTCCACTCAGCCACTGCGACTCCTGAAGACAAAGACCCAATACCAACTTTCCTATCCTGTATGAGCAGAAGTTGATAGGGGGTGCGGTCAAATAAATACTAAATTATAGAAATAGGATAAATACTAAATTATAGAATTTGACCAACCTAATACTTCTAAAGTGTGTAGTGGAAGCATCACCCCTCTTATGTAGATCCAGAAGATTTCATGGCATCCAGAGGACCGGATGGTAACCAAAAGTATGTTTTAAGGGAGTATGGGCATCAAGGACATCGAGAAGATTAGAAGTGAGAATGTGAACCATACTATCAATAGAAGACATTAATATATATATATATATATATATATATATATATATATGTGGGAAAAGGGAACTATGGTGAGAGAAAAATAGGTTTTCATAACAGAATGGCTGCTGAAGGAAGAGTACATGTTCAAGATCTACAATAAAGAGATGCGAAAATTTACTATTGAAGTTGATCTTCAACTCCTTAAAGAAGCCTGACCGATTATTATTAAGCCTGATTTTATTATAAGCCTTATTTTATTATCTTTTTATTTTAATCTCTTTTTCTTGTTTTCTGTATACCTATTTTTTTTTCTCTTTTGTTCAATTAAGAAAATTATAAAGTTTACCATAACTATGTGATTTAAAAATTTATAAGATACATGTAATTTTTCGTCAAATACATACATGTATCATACTAAATGCATGGAATATGTAAAATCTAACAAATAAACCCTTATATAGGGTTACTGTATGAGAAAAGCAGATTTAAAAAAAAAGATAGAATTTATTCAGAGATTCATTTATTGATTCAGAGAGGAAATTAGTGTTTAGGCCACCAGAAAAGATTATTGTGGTGTAGAAGGGATGAAGTTGAAGAGGGTTGATTAAAAAGATTGATCAAAGGGAACAAGAGGACGACGATATACTGGAATAGAATAGAAAATAAACTTTATTCTTGGAGGAGGTCCCTAAAGAATAACAATTATAAACAAACAATTAAAACCACATCTGCCAAAAAATTACATAAATCAAAATTAAAGAATATATAAAATATTTTCAGAGATAAAACAAATGAAAAAGTAACACCATTTTGAAAAAAAAAAAAACATTATTTAAATTAAAGAAAAACAGAAATAAGGTATAATAAAAAAACAAAATGTTATAAGTACTATGGGTTGATTCTTAAAATTAAAACTCAAACAATTTCAACAATCATTCACCTCAGTCAAATTTTGATTCATAATATTTATTTCAATGTACAACGTCATTTTGGAATGTGAGAAGGAATTGGTAGAGATGATATTTGAATGAGCACAAGGAAGGGGCATGGCCGATATCAGACGGCAAGGAATTCCAGAAGGCAGTGGATCGGGAAATAAACGAATATTCAAATGTCTTAGTTCTATGGGAAGGGATATAAAGGTCGGAAACATGGGATCTTGTTTTCTAGGAGTGGACCACGGGTTTGAACTGTAGGAGACTGTAGATGTAGGAAGGGAGTTGGGTGTTGATCGTTTGGAATAGGAAAAATCCAAAGAAATATTGTCGGCGGGAAGAAGGGAAGAGCCACTTTAACTCGTCGTAAAAGTGGAACACATGAGACTGCCTCGAAGTACCGAAGACAAATCTTAAGCAGGAATTCATAATTCGCTTTAATCTATCGTCGAGTACCATCGGGATTCCTCCGTACACCACACAGCCGTAGTCAAAGTGGGGGAAAATGCAAGGAGCTTACGGATAAATTGTGGGAGTAGGTAGCGGAAACGATAAAATAACTTAAGGGTACCTATTGACTTTCGTGAGATGAGTGCGATATCAGGTTTCCAGGAGAGATTTTTATTAATGGTGATTCCTAGGTTTTTAACGGAGGAGCTGAATGTGACGGGATGATCGTTGATAATTAAATGAGGAAGGGAGGAGATGGATTTAAGAAGAGAACTAGAAGCTATAACAATGGCCTGAGTTTTCATCGCGTTTAGCTTTAAATTATTCAAACTTGCCCAGGCACTGATCCTATCTAGGTCTGCCTGAATATTGGCGAACGCGACTAATATCTCAGAAGGGGGAAAGTATAAATAGATTTGGGAATCATCAGCGTATGAAGGGTATGAACAGTGGTAGATGGATTTTGGAAGATCATTTATATAGGAATTTAAAAGGAGTGGGGAAATGCTCGAACCCTGGGCCACTCCAGAGGATAGCGTAAGGAAGGAAGATAGGTGTTGGTTCGGAATGCAGACTGCTTGGATTCGGTCGGAGAGGAAAGACTGAAACCAAAGGATAGAGCTGTTGGAGAAGGTTAGAGATTTTAATTTAGTGTAGAGTATAGGGTGGTGGTCTAAGGAGTCAAAAGCTTTGGAAAAGTCGAGAAGTATTAACACAGTTAGCATTTTTTCGTCCATTGCAGTATGTAAGTCGTTAGTAATGTTTAGTAGAGCGGATTGTGTGGAGAAGCCAGGACGAAAATCAGATTGGAGAGGATCGAGTAGTTTTGAGTTTTACACGAATTTGAAGATTTGGGATTGAGCTTTTCTTTCCAGAGGTCTAAAAAGGTTAGAGAGAATGGAGATTGGGCGGTAATCTTTAGAAAAAGTAGGATTGGGGATTTTGTTAATAGATCTGACTAATGGTTTTTTCCAAGCAGAAGGAAAAACTGAGTACTGAAGGGAGAAATTATAGATGAAAAGAAGGACAGGGAGGACTTTAGGAAGGCATCATTTTAGCAGTTTGACGGGTATTCCATCAAATCCGATGGACTTTGCATGGGATTTCATTATAGAGGAAATAATGTATGTTGGTAAAATGTAGGAGAAATAGAAATTATCACTGTTAAATGAGGGTGACAAGGAAACTGATAAGAGGAGTGTGAGCTGTTGCTGGTGGAGGAAGATATAAAGGAGGAATTTAATTCATCAGGTGAAATCGGGTAGACTGATGAGGAAAAGGATTTACAAAGAGAGAGTTTACGAAGAGTTAGCCATATTGATTTAGAATCAGGAGCAGAGGTTTTCGTGAAAGAAGTTTGATTTCGCTTTCCTGATCGTTGTTTGTGTTAAGTTACGCAGTACCCTGTAAGCTTGATAATCATCTGCTAGTCGAGTTCGCCTGAAGCGTCTATGGGCTGCCTCACGTCTTTTTTGCATGTCACGAATTTCTTGGTACATCCAAGGAGCAGGTTGGCGACGAAATATAGAGGTTGATTGTCCAAGGTTGATTCGAAGGATGGGTCAAAAGGAGTCAACGGAGGGCGATGTACGACCACATAAAGGTGAGGATGTGCTTTGCAAGAGATTTCAGCGAAGAGGAATTCCATGTGAGGATGATTGGACGGGGTTTCAGGCTATTGTGGACATAGAGACCAACACCTCCGCCAGTCCGGGACACCCTGTCATGACGGACGAAGGTATAATCAGGTAAGGAAACGGAGGAGGAAGGGATATAGGGCTGAAGCCACATGTTCCAGAGACTGCAATAATGTGGTAAAAATTACGGGTGAAATATTGGAGAAATTCGTCATAGTGAGCATGAAGGAATTGTGAATTTACATGGCAAGTAGTTAAGAAGCGGAGGAGGAAAGTATATATTATGATGGATAGACATTGGCAGTAAGAGAAAACTGTGAAAATAAATTTGAAAAGAAGTAAATAATGGCTGGAAGAGAAGGAAAAAAAAAAAGAGATACGATCAAAAATATAAGAGAGAAAACAAAAATTACATTGGTTAAAACAGAGAAATAATATTAGTAACAATAATAATAGATGGGCAACCCAGCACATTATTATACATTATACAGTGGAAGGTAATTGAGAATTTATGGATACGATCTGTAGGTCGACGTAAATCAGAAAGTCGGCAGAAAACTTCAAGATCATTTGGTTGGTCAATATATATCACTGGACGGCCATCTCCTTTTCTACAGCGCAATCTACCATACATATTTTAGCTTACCAGCCGCTCTCTTCTGACGTGTGAGCCAGTACAATCGTCTGTTAGTAGGGGTCGTTTCTTCACACAGATATATTCGGTGGGAATACTACCATATAAAACAGAAATAAGGGATGTTTAGGCAACTTTTCCAATTAAGTTAAATAACTGTAATGTGTTTCAATAAGGCAACATTTTAATTTTATGCAGTGGACTGTATCTTAATGGATTAGTAGGTTATGCTGATTGTGCAAATATAGCTTACCGTATTTATGCGAGCTTACATCTTTGGTTATCTGGAGGGCCATCTGGTGGGTTGTTGGTGCTGTCTCCGTGACTGCCCATAAAGAAATGGGCGAGAAAACCAGCAGCTCTTGAGGCTTAAGTGTTATCTTTTAGATCTGCCCCCACCACTCGCTCTAACCACTAGTGATAAAATCGGTGGCAATCATTTTCCTGCCAGCCGATATCAGAAGTCAAGAAGTTCCTTTTTTACTTGTCGTATTTGAACCAGTTCATTTTGAACTGACTACTTGACGAATCGTGTAACGATAGGCGGCGGTTGCGGGTCGTCTACTCTTACTCTGCGCCGCTACACTGCGTTCAGATCAACGACATTAAACTTGACTGGCCGACTCCTATACTTGTCATCAGGGCAGCTAGGGTCTCACCTACTTAGAGTAGGTGCCACTGTGGCATTGCCACACTTCTCGGAGTTTTGAATTTTAGAGGAAGGCTTTAGAATCTTTATCGCTAAGTTTACAACACTTTGAGAGGTGGTGCTGCTGCATAAAAGGCATTGAACCGTATCGTGATATAGTTAATAAATCGTACTTACAATAAAAATACACGTTGTTTCATATATAATATAAATTTTATATATTATCAAGTAACATATTCCAACTTAAGTTAAAAGAAGCTTAAAGCTGGAAACGCTATAAACTTGCCTATATTTCTATCATCGTATCTCTTGTAGGTCTTACCAATCCCTCTCTTCTTTTACCCCAACCAAATCTTGGGTACTCCTTTAATGTTTCTCCGATTTGGTTTACTCGTAAATGGCACATTTAGAACAGCATTTGAGGTGAAGAAAACAATGAAGAATGTCTTAAGAAATTTCTTGCATTTAAAGACACATTTCCCTCTCTTCTATGAAAAAGATTTACAAATTAAGAAAAATCACTATTTAATTGTCTAAAAAATGTATAAATTTATTATGAAAAACTTTATGTTTTCCTTTTTTGTTTTGTTCAATATAGAAGTTTATTATCTTCCTTCATTTTATTTCTTATTAGTTCTAAATCATATAACTATGTATTCGCCTTTTACTTAGTAAACTAAGTTTTTGGAATTCTTAATACGGAATAAAAAGAGATATTAATTAACACCAGTCAAATCTTATAATGGAATATTGTTCTATGGAAAGTGAAGTAAATTATAATTCAGTGTAGGAGTAGAGGGGGTATTGGAGTAACTGATTCCTTGCTTTCACCAATATTGGAGATTTTGCTTCTCCAATTTGATTTACTTATTATTATAAACGTGCTATTTTATTAATTAAGCATATTCTAATAAATTATTTGAATGAGAAAATAACATACATCAAGTGTAGATAGCGCCTTGAAGCTGCTAAAGAATGTGTTAGCAGAGAAACCTAAAGGTACTATTTCGCTGGCGCGGTCCACGACCGCGACTGCTCGCGGTTGACCACTGCTTTAGTGGAATAGAAAGGAACCTATTTCGCTGGCGCTGCTCGGCAGTCTAGGTATGACGTCATATCTAAGCTGCTCGTATCTGACTCCTCTTGAAGCAGTGGAGCTGTTGGCGGTTCGGCGGTTGTAGGTTATGTTATCATATCAGAGTATTGTTTTGATGATAACAGTCCCGTCGATACGTTTTATTTCCTATGTTTCTTTTAAGTCTGGCAAAATTATAACAAATATTGTTTAAAACTGAAACAATGCAATAATAAATTATTTTTTTGAGGTTGAAGTAACAAGATTATTTATTTATTTATTCCACCAGCAATATTTTACAGCGAAATACAAATATACCTAAATCCAAACGATATTAAATAAATTAAAGAATCCAACAAATTTTATCGTCAGATAAATACTAAAATCCACCCATTGAAAAAACGATTTGTATTTTTTAATTAAATTAAATTTTTTAAGTGGTGATTTACTGATTACTATTGATAAAACTCTAAAACATCGCTTGCTGAGATTTAGTTACAAATATATGATATTTATTACTAACCAATTATGTATTAATTAGTATTATTTTTCAAACTAATAATATGTAATATCAGAGGAACTTTGATGATGAGCATCACATCGAAATACTGATATTCCTTCTCTTTATGAACAACATTTTCTCTTCTTTTTCCAACTCAAATAAAAAAGCGGTAGTCAGAGATGTTCATTATTATAGGATGTTCATTTTTATTATTATATTAGGTCCATCTTTTTATCTTCGAAGATACAGCGAAATGTTCGAAGGTTATAGGCAGGTTATAACAACCCCAGTGAGCAGTTTCAGCGAAATAGCTACGCCAACAGCGGTTGGCAGGGGGGAATAGCGGTCGCTGTCGTCGACCGCGCCAGCCAAATAGTACCTTAACGTTCTGTTAACCTACAAGTTCTTTGTGTATATTGACTTTCGTGTTTCTTTAGAATGGCAGATTTCATAGATTCTGAGGCTGAAGAAAGTGAGGTATAATAAGAATTTCGTAACTATTGAGCCATTTTAACCTATTGTTTATATCTGAATTTATATATTTTATTGACATGACTGCAGGATGAGGAAGAGTTGGAAGTCCATGAGAAAAAAAAGTTGAAACGGTTGAAAGCTATGGAAAGTGATGAAGATGAGGAAGAAGAAGGTGAAGAGATTGTTTTTACTTACAGTCGCATGTAGTTAGGGTGTTACAATTAATAATGAACTTTAAGGGATGCAGCTTATTAAATTCATTTATTGCATGCATCTGTATCAAAGAGATTTTACTTATAACTACCCGCATCTATTTCTTAGTGGCGTTGATGACCTGAGGGTTTTACACGTATAAACTATAACAAACAAATTTCTTAGTCATGATTAACCCAGCATCAAACATTAACTAGTTAAATGTCATGTGAACTTCAATATGGTTTTCTGAAATGTTACTCGTAAACTACTTTATTCATATTATTGAAAGTATTTGGAATCTTGTTTCAAATTATTTATGTTTTGTTGAAGCATTTTGTTTATGCTTTCATTCTTTTCTCTAGACTGAGATTACAAACAATATGGCTTAGTGCCCAAATTTTTACTCTTTCGTAAATATTTTAGTGCTGAATACTGTTATTTCTCGAAAGTAATTATTTGGTGCTTTGTGGTAATTATTACATTAATATTTTCAATGACTGGTTGTTGCGTGTGTCAATTTCAAAGTTTGCTGTAGAACACTACAAGTGTTGCTTCTCTTTGATGGACGGGTCAGTATACTTTCGGGTACCCTGCCATTCTCCATTTACAGTGTGATTATGAGATCTTGTACCATTTATCGAAGTGGAGCAACTCTTGTAAAGGGTTTTAGAATATGTTTCCCAGATTTTAGTCCGTTTCTATATTCCGAAAGATATTTATTTTACCATGATCTCTGGTATCAAAAGTCTCTGAAGTCAGTATTAACTTCTGAATTAGAGAGTAAGCATAATTTCAAAAAAGAGAAAGTGGGTGTTCTCTTTTCCAAAACATAGGAAATTTATACAAATGATGTAATGGTAATTGTACATTCTATTTAGAGATTTGTTTGTTATGCACAAGCTTTTTATGAACAGATAGCTGGATTATACTCTGGAATTTCAGGCTGAAGCCCCTCTAAAGGTACTATTTCGCTGGCGTGGCCCATGACAGCAACCGCTATTCCACGCTACCAACCGCTGTTGGCGTAGCTATTTCGCTGAAACTGCTCACTGGGGTTGTTATAACCTGCCTATAACCATCGAACATTTCGCTTTATCTTCGAAGATAAAAAAATTGACATTCTTTCTCTGTCTACGCTTTTTTATTTGAGGAGGAAGAAGAAGAGTATTCGAGTATCAGTATTTTGATGAGATGATCATCATCCAAATCATCAAATCCCTTCTTGGACATTGTTTGCTATTGTCTAGATGAACAATCAAAAATTGAGGAAAAACCAAAAAAGAACAAACCCTCTCATATTAGATATTATTAGTTTGAAAAGTGATAGTAATTATTACATAATTGATTAGTAATAAATATCATATATTTGTAATTAAATCACATCAGACAATGTTTTATCGTTTTATCAATATTAATCGGTAAATCCTCACTTTAATTAAAAAATACAAATCCATTTTTCAATGAGTGGATTTTAGGATTACCTGACATTAAAATTTGTTGGATTCTTTAATTTATTTAATATCATTTGGAGTTTGGTATATTTGAATTTTTCTGTAAAATATTGTTGGTGGAATAAATAAATAAACAATCTTGTTACTTCAACCTTAAAAAAATAATTTACTATTGCATCGTTTAAGTTTTAAACAATATTTCTTATAATTTTGCCTGACTTGAAAGAAACATAGGAAATAAAACATATCAACGTGACTGTTATCATCAAAACAATATTCTGATATGATAACATACCCTACAACCGCCAACAGCTCCACTGCTTCAAGAGCTGTCAGATAGGAGCAGCTTAGATATGACGTCATACCTAGATTGCCGAGCAGCTGCTTTCTATTCTACTAAAGCAGTGGTCAATCGCAAGCAGTCCACGACCGCGCCAGCGAAATAGTACCTTTAAATGGTAAAATGTAACCATGTTTTATGGAATAAAATATTTAAAAATTATCTGTTAAAGTATTATTGTTCCTGTAATTTCATTTAATAGGACTTTTAGAATCACTTAAGCACCATTTCATATAGTTAGTTAGTATCTTTCTTCTTCCTAAGTTATTATCGTTTTATATATATATATATATATATATATATATATATATATATATATATATGTATATATATATATATATATATATATACATACATAAATATTTATATGAAAAAAAAAGGTTTCGGGCTGAAGCTCTTCTCCAAAATTAAATTCTGGATCCGCCAGTGCTTATGGTCCACTAGTATGTTATTAGCCATGAGAGGATTATTTACTGAAGGTTGAGAAGAAATCTGGTCGCGATATGTCTATGTGATAATAATAATAATGTTTATGTGATATAAATTTAAAATTTATTTGATTTGGTTTTCAAACTCTAAAACTTAAAACATACCTTTAACAAACAAAACAACCATCTGCTTTATGACATTTATTCAATAATTATTTTCATAATATATAATTATGATTAAGGATAAAATAAATTATGAAAATCATTAAAGTTTTGAAGGCTGCTCTTCATTATTTTGTATTTTTTTTTGTATTATTTTAACAGATGATGAGGAACGTCTTCGGGAAGAATTAAAAGATTTAATTGATGACAATCCAATAGAAGAAGAAAGTGAAAGTGATGGTAGTGGATCTGAAGAAGGAAGTGGAGAAGATCGGGGAGGTGAGAAACGTAAGAAGCATGATGAAGATTTTGATGATCGTCTTGAAGATGAAGATTATGATTTATTGGAAGAAAATCTGGGACGAAAGGTTGAAAGAAGGGTGAGTTTATTTTTTTATGTTATAGTGATCATGTATAATATAAAATTTTATGTATTCTGTTTGGCATTTATTCTTTAAGTTATTCATTATGAAATTTGTATATTAATTTATAATATAATATTGGACATTCCTATTTACAGAAAAGATTTAAACGATTGCGAAGAATTGAAGATGAAGAGTCAGATGGTGAGAGAGTCGAAGATGAAGGTGAAGTTAGAGAAGCTATAGCCAATGAACTCTTCGAAGGATCTGACCATGTAAGTTTATTGTAAATCTTTAAAATTATGTTAAAATTGTTCTTCATTTATCATTAATTTTTTTTTCATGTTTTATTTATGCCATCTTAGGAACCAGAGGACCGAGTGAGTTTTAATTTTACATTTATTCTGCTGAAGTTAAAATCTGTACCTCATGCCATCATTTTTAATCTTATATCAAATATCTGAAATAAAAAGAATGAGATATGCATTATTAGTGTTTAACTTACAATTTTAAATGATTTTTTAAAATTGTTATTCAAACATTCCTACTTTTTATTTCTTTGTATATAGTGTACTAATGTGAGGATGTAATAATTTAAAAATGATCCTTTATTTTTTATTATTTTTGAGGCTTAACTATTTTACATCAGGGTGTCTATCGGGCCTAAGGGAGCTGGGTAGTTCAGTGAATAAGGTATCGTGCTCCTGTTCTATCAGATGCCTAGTTCTAATCAGGCTGTGACAAGTAATTGTTTATTCTTTTACACCAGCTGTGGATTGAACCTGAGGTCAGGGTATTCTCTTGGACTACACTCAGCATCTATAAAGTGGGTATTCTTAATACGAGGAAAAACCTGATGGTTGAATGTGGTAATGGTCAAATCACTATGCACAACCATTAAACTTGAATCCAAGACTTCTTAGTGGCACAAATACAGATATATTGGACCTGGAGTACCTGGAAAAGTCAGAATCACTGTTGGTCATAAAAAGTTTACATTTCTGTATTTCTTAACTGATTCTTCTTCTATTGTAAATCAATGTTGATGATCCTGTTTATAGAGCTTCATCCATTTATCTTGTTTAGAAAACATTGATAAATAATGAAAAACAAGAATACATATGATGTATTGTGGCATATTCATCAATATTTCACGATAAACTGTTATTCTATTATTTATTAAATTTTTTTCCCAATAACACTTAAAATTACTCATCTCAAAGTAAATATTTTTTTAAAACCCTTTTCCTTCCAATAAACATAATATATTGTTTTGTTTTTTTTAATTTAATATTTCCATACCAAAAAATCTTTGATATTTTTATTTGCCCAAAGAGGGGCTGTTTAATATTTGTTAGAGTTCCTACAAACCTATATATCATAAAAATTTATAACTGTATTATATGACCTATAGTATTATGGATTACAGTACCCAAAACTTAAAATATTGTACCAATTATGTAAAATGATTATTAATTAACATCAACTTATAACAATTTTGTGAGTAACCAAACATTTTTTCTTTTACCTTATTATAGGAAAAAACAGAGTGAATTATTTCCATCGACAGTAAATTTCGAACTAGCACATAAAGTAATTTATTATTGTCATTATTCTCATTAATCATTTATTTTTCCAAGCATGGCCTGTAAAAGTCGGAGGATTCTATAAAAAAGTTTCGGTAGACACCTTATACATTTATAGTTGAGTTTACAAACAATTTATATTCTCTTTTCTAGATATTTTGTTTTATTATTATAACATGTTTGATTAAAAGGAAGAAGATCGGAGCTCTTCCAGAGGCCCAGCACCTGAGAGATATGAAGATGAAGAGGAAGATGGTGAATATTCAGATGCTGATGATTTTATTGTTGACGATGAAGGTAGACCTATTGCTGACAAAAGGAAAAAAAGAAAACCTATATTCACTGATGCGTGAGTTTTGACATTTTTGAACTAGAAATGGCTTAGTTCAGATATTTGTGGCAAAAATAATGATCTTAAAAGTTTCATGATTCAGATTAGTTCTATCAATATTTTTTGGTTAATGTTGTATTATGGATTGAGATCGGTTTTGGTTACTTATTAACATTGCTATTTATTTGTAATTTCAGTGCTTTGCAAGAAGCTCAGGATATATTTGGAGTTGATTTTGATTATGAAGATTTTGAAAGACTTGGTGAGGATGAATATGAAGAAGAGGAAGATGAAGATGAGTATGTTGATGAAGAAGGAATTGAAGATAGTGAGAGAAGGTATTTAATTTTTTTAGTGCATGTCTCTTAAATTCTGTAAGGTTGAGGTTATCAAAACCAGGAGTTAAGAAGTATGAAAAAAGAAACTTAATTACTTGATGTTAGTTTTATTTTTCCAATTTAGCTTCCAATATTTTTTTTTTCATTTTCAGGCGGAAACCTACAAAGAAGGCTGCCAGGAAGAAACCAACTAGAAAATCTATCTTTGAAATTTATGAACCTAGTGAATTAAAGAGAGGTCATTTCACTGATTTTGACAACAAAGTAAGTAAAATAATTTTGTATTTATAACAAATCAGTATAATTTTGAAACTGTTTTATGCTGCCATTTAAATTGCCCCCTCCCCCCCAAAAAAAATTAATTTTTCTGTAGTTGATTTTGAATTTAAGAAGAATTGATATATTTTTTTTCATGTTCTTTAAAATTGTGTAATTTTATCAAATATTATGAATCATTTAATCCTAACTTTACTTTACTAACATTTACTATTATATTATTTCTCTTTACTTCCCTGGCACTACAACCCAAAATGGATCCGCATTTTATAATTGTGTTAAATGACAAAAAAAAAAAAAAATTAATTTTGTTTACATTTTTTATAATTTTATGTCTGTAAAATAATGCTTGAAATAATAATAAATAATGTTTTGACATAATAGGTTCGGAATACAGATATTCCGGAACGAATGCAGCTTAGAGAAATCCCAGTGACGCCAGTTCCAGAAGGTTCTGATGAGCTATCTGAGGAAGCTGAATGGATTTATAAACAAGCATTTTGTAAACCAACTACATCTAATCAGGTGAAAACATTTTGTATTTGTTAATTGTTACCTATGATAAGATTTTCAGAGCTGTTGCAGACCCGGATATTCTACACTATTAACATGAGATTCTCAATCAACTCAGAAGTTTTAGCTGGATTAAAAAAAAAAAAATTGTATACATTAGACTCTCCCAAAGACTAAATTTGATGGCAATGATCCAAACATGGGAGAGAGAGTCGGATATGTATCAAACAAAAAAACATTGATGTAATTATCTATTTATTTTATATGCAAGAGCCAAACTACTGAGGGAAACTATCTCTATTTCATCACAGAGGGCACTTTCTCTCAGCTAGTCAGTAAGGACAATTAGCTTAACTATAAAGAACAAATATAGCATTAACATACATATTATACAAATTTAGACTGTTCACACACACACGGACAGACCATTTTGTGAGACTTGGTTAATTGGACTCAGGAGGCCTCAAAACGTGTATTTCTGTTGAAAACTCGGATTTGAAAATTTTCACAATTACATCACGTTCCCTTAATAATATTTCATACATAGGTACGTGAAAGTAAAAAAAATGAAAATGTTATCAGATAAAAAAAATCAGATTCTCTTGATATAAGATTAAATTTGGCAGCTAGAAAAAAAAAATTCCTTTTTTTTCTCTCCTCATACTTTCTAATGAAAATCAAGGATTGTTTTTCCTCTTGATATGTAATATCCCTGGATTTTGTTATTAAAATAATAATGTAACGATTTAAAAAAAAAAAGTTTTGATTTTAATTCTTCTTATTTGTTCATCCCTTGTACATTCCAATACATTTTCACATGAATTTTTGTTATCCAAAACAATTCTGATATATCTACAGCATCCCTAAAAGCGTAATATTATTAAAAGCTTTTTAAAGGTTACTCCGATCTGGTCTTAAGGGTCACCGCTTCATTTATGACTAATATGGCTTGTTTAATGTATTATTTTGTTTCCATTACAGATTTCTATCTTTAATAAGCAATATAAATGTTTTCCAGGAATGGGGCAATACGATGGAGAGAGGAAAACCAAAGAAGGAGCCTCAAACAGTTGAGAAGATTAAAAAAGCTCTTGATTTTATGAGAAATCAAAATTTTGAAGTTCCATTTATAGCTTTCTATAGGAAAGAATATGTTCTTCCAGAACTTAACATCAATGATCTCTGGAGGGTCTTCAAATATGATGCCAAGGTATTTTCATTTCTTTTTTTATCTTATTAATATAGACAAATAATATAGATCAATATGATTAAAGCACAGTAAAATAATAAATAACAATAAAGATGGCAAAGGGTGGTAAAAAAAAATTCAAATAGTGTAATCTGTTTGTTCAAACCTTCAAATTTAAAAAAAAACTGAGTAGCTCACAGAATATTGAATAATCCTTCTCTTATAATGTTAATTCTTTTATTGATTATAATTCACTCTATTTTACTTATTTTTTTTTATTTTTTTAACCTCCATACTATATTTTTGTAAAAACTTTATTAACATTCGATTTAGATCTAAGAATAAATTTGAGGAATAATATACAAATGATCTGGTTTGAGTTGCACATATTTTCATTTAAAAATTAAACTATGATTTTAAGAATATAGTGGCTGTGAAATGAGACAGGCAGTAAAAATATGACAATAGGAAGTTATATTAGTTTTTTTAACTTAATGTGATTAATCAGGTGTGTTTTTGTTGGATTATTTTATTCAGTTTTAAATAAAACTTTAGCCTCTTTTTCTTATGGGTGGAGTGGTCCAACGGCCTAATAAGTGTGCACAGCACTGCTGTTGCCCGGCAACCTGGCAATTGACCCTTTTTTTTTCTTGTGGTTGGTTTAGTGAAAATGTAATGTCGTTCTGAAAAGTTGGAAATAAGTTATAAGAGAGAACTGGAGACAGTTCTATAGGAATTCATCTGACTTATTTATATTACTTTTATAAATTTCAGTGGTGCCAGTTAAGAAGCAGAAAAATGACTTTACTTTCATTAATGGAAAAGATGAGGGACTATCAGGCTGAACAGCTGATGAAGGACATTGATGCACCTATTCCAGATCATGTTAGGGTCATTAAGGATGATGATATTGAAAGGTGATATAGAATTATCGCTTATTTACTTTATGAAGTGCGAACTTGCATTTACATGCAGTATTATTATGGATTGCAATATTTCTTTTGAGTCTTACCAATCAATTTTCAAAAGAATGTATCTATTAAGTTTGTATTGTAGCATAACAAACAAAAAAAAAAAAAAATTGTATATATATATATATATATATATATATATATATATATATACATATATATATATATATATATATATATATATATATATATACATATATATATATATATATATATATATGAATTCTTGAAGGAAGTTAGTCGACTGTTCTACATATCATGGTTGATAAATATTCAGGACTCAGTCTTTTTTAAAAATTTTTATTTTTGCCAACGTTTCAACCCAAACATGTGGGTCATATTCAGGGCTGAAAATGTTTTTTAAATTAAAATCAGAGATATAATAGTATACGACCGCTAATTATAAATAATAAACTATAGTGATTGATGTAAATATTGAGGACGCAGTCTTTTTTAAAAATAATGTCCATTATCTTCAATATTCTGATAAACAATAAATTTTCCTAATTTAATAGGACTTGGTCTGTCCAGGTGATATTTCCTTGACTGTTTTTTTAACCTCTTTGGGCAGTGCAAGATGATTCAGAAAAATATTGATTTAGAATTCTATAGAGATTTTAAAAGTTTAGAGTGCTATTCATAATGAACAAAGGTATCACTCTAACTATATATAGTACATTAGAGTACAAATGCAGTGGCTAATAGGTAGGATCTGGATCTAAAGATCTAAATTTATCAAGAAATAGATCCTAAAAATCAATTTTTAGATCTTTAAACAGTTATTAACAATAGCATATAGTACAAAAATACAAAAATATTTGTAGATCTTAAGGTCATTAAAAACATTTTCTATATAAAAGTTATAATGAACATGATAAAAACATTAAGCCATAATGTTTACAAAAATTGGAATTTTAAGAATTAACATACCTTAAAAACAAAAAAGGAAAGTTCCTAAATTCAGCACTAATTTTATCGATGGATTCCATCAACTGAATATCTAGTAGCGATGGACAGCGATTTATGATCAGTTTAGGAGTGACCTGGTCCGTTCTATTAGAAGGTTTACATTTCTGAAAGGTTACTAAACACATGAACAATAAAACAATTATTTAAAGAAATTACTCACCTATTGAATTGTTGAATTTCAAAACAGATATAATTAGGACAAGTTCCTTAACTTAATGTTAAGCTCATTGATGGCGTTGCATCGCTCAGTTTAGTCAAGAATAAGCTTAGTGATGAGTTTGGGAACTTGTCCATATATAGAGAAAGTGAACATATTAATGTGTAAAGTATAGAGATTTAACAACACTGAGGTTTTATCTAGAATCAATTTTCTGGATAAAACCTCAGTGTTGTTTGTGCTTAGTGTGCCAAAAGCCGATGAAATTACTGAGCCTTTGGTGATTCAATCGATGAATAAATTAACGTGCTTGATTCAATTGATTAATTTAAGAACTCCCAAATATTTATATATTCTTGGAAAATAATATTTCTTACATTTCTTGAAAATAATGTATTATCACAGATTTGAGCCAAATTCTATTAAATCCCAATGATTTTAAAAGTCAATAGCGACATTGTTTATACCCCTTTTGTTAAAAATGAACATATAATGGAATTTTTCATTTTTCCTAATATTGGTAACGAATAGTTTACTTTTTGGTGTGGAGATGCTTGACCGTGATAATAATTTGAGAAAGAGTTGGTCTTCAGGGATGCGGTCAAATTAAACATTTTGTAGGTCTTCTCCAGGGCTACAAAAGATTTTTTTATTTATTAGAGGAAGGAGATGGTCCAGGGTGAAATGTGAGACGAAATAAAATAGTTTTTCCAGTATTATAGTCTTTTTATAACCCTCATTCCGGACCATCTCCTTCCTCCAAAATATAGAACAGTGAACTATCAAGTTTTCAATACGGTTTTTTTATATATCTTATCTGACCAGTTTCATTAGATAATTTACTCTCTATTCAGACGTATTTGTTAGGAGCTGGCTGGAGTGTGGAACCAGAGCCTCAATCTAGCTATTTCACGAAGAGTCATGTGATCTGCCTTGTTTCCCTATGTTCACTGAACTTTTTCAAATGCTTCGAATTTTGCCTCTTTTGTTGAGAAAAATTGGTATATTCCGCTATTTCTAAAGAACATTCTGTTTAAAGCAATACCTGTCAGTTATTTTCGAGTTATCATTAGTTTTATGATACCCAATTAGTTTGATTAAATATTGTTTTCATTACACAAAACATATTTATTCTTACATTGAAAATAATCCGTTACAGGCACAGTTGAAGAATCTTTCATTATTCAAATTGCTTGAAACCTCAATTTCTGATATTTTCCTTTAATTGTTTTGCAGTGAATTTCAGTGAATAAATTTTATTTGTTCTATATTCCAATTTATATATTTTAAGTAAATTTATTTAAAAGCAGCATTTTCTTTATATTTAAATAGGTTGAAAGCTGTCCAGACAACAGAAGAATTGAAAGATGTTCATTCTCATTTTCTGATGTATTATGCTGACGAGGTTAAAATCATGTTGGAAGCTACAAGAATAAAGGAGCGGGAAGCTGCTAAAGCCAAAGCTAGACAAGAGAAGCAACTAGATGAAAATGGTGATCCTATCGAAACAGAAGTAGAAGAACAAGAAGAACCTCTTCCTCCTGAAATACCTTCTGTAAAGCATTCTATACGTTCTGGACCTTATGCAATATGCCGAAAAGCTGGAATAGGTCGGTATTAAATTTTAGTCATTTTTAAAGTTTATTCATTTAAAGTTAAAACATTTTAAGTTATACAGGGATGTCGGAGAAATATTTATATTAAAATTCGACTCAAAGATCTAGAGAAAAATACTTTTTTTCTATAAAACAAAAGAAAAATGTCTACAAAGAAAGCAGCCTCAACACTTCAAATGAGAATATTTGAAAATACAATACCCAAAAAATACTAGTTTAATTACTTTTTTTTCTAGATCTGACTAATAGATTTGAAAATGTTTATAGAGTTTCATATGTTTCAGACCTTGTTTTTTCATTCTTTTTAAGAATAAACATTAATAATTTTTACTCAATATTTAATATATATTTTTAGTAATTCGTTTAACATTCTATCCTTGTTATTTAATTTTTATGTTTAAGCAATTTAAGTAATTTTTTTGTTTAGATCCTTGTAATTTTTGTTTTAAATTGATATGTTCAGATAACTTTTTGTTTTGTGATAAACAATCTATAAATATTTAATATTGCTTCTAAAAATCTAAGACTTTGATTCACTATTTATACTCTTCTTATTCTTTCATTGATTGAGAACATTGAGGCTTACAATATTAACATATATATTCGTTATAGCAAATTAATATTTTGATA